CAGGCAATGAAGTAACCATTGGACTTCTGCTGCCCATAACACTTGCAGAGTTTAATTAAGAGAAAGGAAAGAGGTGGTGAAGCTTCAGAATCCAAGATCTGGAGCAGAGAAAATAGCAGTGCTGTCTGCTTTTAAGTATGTATAGCCTCTCTCCTTCTGTAGTCCCATCTCTGAAATTCTTATTTCAACCCCTCATTACCACTCAGTGTCTGCCACTTCCCACACTGCTCACAGCACTAGCACTGCATAACACATGGGAAAAAGATTTTCTATTTTAATAACATTTCTGATACAGTTCAGGTCCTGGAAGGTCTGAATCACTAACTCAGTGTATTATCTTTATATCACTGACACTACTCCTACCACAACAAGTTTCACTTGACTTGTCTAAGCATTAAGAATTATTGGGATGTTTTTCCTTCCCCATGCAGAGTAAGTTATCTGAGCATGCAGCTCTTATGCTGGGACGAGAGATGGGGAAGGAGGAGCAGAAGCAAATGCTCATGTCACAAAGACAAAACAATGTCTTCTGTGGCCGTCAGACATTTCATGAACTAGATGCTGTCTGCCCCCAAAAAGCAAATCAGCAGCAAATCTTTCTTTCTTTCCCTCTTTTGCCCCCACCCCAGAACAGCTTTTGCTCTTGACTTTCTTGCTTGTTTTTAGGGCAAGTCACTATCCTTTGCAGCTGCCTTACTAAATCATGTGGCCAGAGGTGCCAGCTTTTAAAGAAGTCAGCACACAGGTCACCAAGAACTTGGATGAGGGATATATCAGCTGTCTGAAATCTGTCCTCCCCTCATGAAAAATGCAGGGGAAGGAGACAGTTTCTTCTTTCTGCAGATGGGAGCACTCCTTTCCACCCACTCTTCCCTACAGCTTGTATTGAAAAGTGGTTAGTCATAGCAGGACACAGACACGTTCGTGCCTGGATGATGAAACTCAGATGATAACAAGAACATGTTCTTGTCTACAGGCCAGGAGACAACCACGTGGTTGCCTTGCAAGCCAGATTTTATAATTCCTTTGTGCTAGGGAGAGCAAGTCACTTGTTTAGCCTTAGTCAGCATTTGGGGAAATACACTGGTTTTACTTCTCACAGTGAACAAACTTCTGGATGCTTTTCGCCCAAGCTTCCTTTTTGTCCAGGCTTCTATTTACTCACAGGATAACAAATCTCATATACACACACGCACACACACAGAGCTCTTGGCCATGACATTACAGAAAACTAACCAAAAGCAGGACAGGGGCTGTAGACATGGATGAAGCTAATGCAGAAACTAAATTCCTCTGTGGTAAGAGCATGTACCTGGCAAGGAGAAAACCTTCACCCTGAGGTCTGGCTCCTTGAAACATGTGATGTTGTAAACATTCATTTGCAATTCAGTGAGTAGCAGCTCATCATCTCAACTTGAGTGAGACACTAATGAACTGGTCTAAATATATTTACTTGTTTGGTTATGATTCTCCTCTGAAAATGTTGTCCTCACTTTGAGAAGACACGCACAACAGAGTGGTAAGAAGTCAAGCATTCCCTGCATTTGGCAAGACACAGCACACAGGCAGGGGAGGAAAAACCATGGCTGAGCCTTTCTAGGAGTGCAGTTACTGACCTTGTCCACGTCTTCAAGCTTAAATAGTGAGGAAACACAGCAATTTGCTGAGCTTTACCCATTTTTAATCCAGAAAATTGGGATGCAACTGAGAGCTCATCATAAGGCTGAGATACAAAATCAATGCCCCCTTTATCCTGCCCTGGGCATTGTGAATGCTGCAGTGCCAGGTGATGGCACTGTGACACGAGCATTCTGGGGTCCCCCAAGTGCAGCCCTAGCCCCCACCCACCCTTCCACCCAACACCCTGCCAAGGAAGGCCTTTAATGGTCCTGGGGCAGTCCCTGTGCCCAGGAGGCTCAGGGGGCTGTTCCTACCCGTGGTTGCCATACACTGGGTACAGCTGAAAACAGCTGGGAATGGTAAAGAGATGGAATTACTGACAGGGTTATTCAGATTCCTAAAAGAAACTATTTAAAAAAATCCTCTAGCACACACTTGGTAATTCATGGGTTGCAAAATTGGTGCAATGAGTGCAGAAAGCTGTTGATGTGGCACTTAGGGACATGGATTCGTGGTGGAGGTGGAAGTGTTAGGTTAACAGTTGGACTCTATGATCTTAGGTATCTTTTCCAATCTAATGATTCTGTAAAAATCATTCCCATATGCAGCAGACTCATCAATCAGTGTCAGGACCTAAACACATTTTTCCCCTCTCAGAGAATGTATTATTGTGCTCAACATCTTAATGAGTATGAAACTGGCAACAAGATATTTACTTTGATCAAGGTGTTTATTGCATCTCAGAGGGCACACATGCACTGGGGTTTTTTGTTTTTTGGGTGTTTTTTTGTTTGGGATTTTTTTAAACTGAAATACAAAGAAAAGCCATTTTGAAATTAACTTTTTATAGAACTTTCCCATTACAGTGTATGTTATCCCCACAGCAAATTCAGATACAACCACTTTTAATGGTACCATACATTGATTAAATAGTTCATTTGAAAGACTTTAGGTGAATATCTTTCCAACCCAATATGCTTTTACAGAGAACTGCCAAGCCACTTGTAACACTGATCAACAGTGACCTCATTGAAGAGTCAAGATCTTACACCAAGCCATCAGCAGAAACAGTATGAGAACAAATAAAAATTAAAAGAACACAGTATGTACAGTAAAGGGCATGGATCTCCGGATCAGAATTAAATCTAATCACCAATAGTACAAAAGCTACTCACAGCGCATTCGGGGCAATGAGAAAACACTATCCTAGGGCATACACAGGTAAGCACTAAATTAAGAGATGTAGGAAGAACTGAACAGAGATGAGGAACATCACTTGTAATGTTTTGACTACAGATATACCAAAAAGTGCTCTCGTATTTGAAATCCCTTAATGCCAGCACAACTATGGTTGCTCTTTCCCAACTACATGGAGAGAAACTGACCCTTTACTTATTTTCAGTGCGTTTAGCAAGAACTGATAAATATGCCAATTATAAATGCAAAAACTTAAATAATTAAATTAGATTTAAGAATAAAAACAGCAATAAATATGGTATTCTTTCAGATATGGTTTTTCATTCTTGGTAAATCATTGAAAAAGTACTTGTTATGGAAGTTTTCCTTTATATTACTTTAAATTATTTTAACATATACAGTGCCACAAAAATAAAACATTTTTTCACGACAATTGAGATTCCTGTGACTGGAAAAAAAAAAAGTATTCTGCACAATTTTGTAAGTATTTTCTTTACTATCTGGTATTATCACACTATGTTTTGTAACAGATAAAGGAGAAATTGAGTCCTAGGGAAACTTTGGGTGTCCTCAAAAAGTTATGTACATTGAAACCTTCAAAAACCACAGACATTGCTCCAAATGGCTCACCAAACAACAGCTGCATAATCTGCCCCTGTGGGATAGGTTCAGAAAAGCACTAGAAGGCATCAGAAACATACATCCATTGTTTAAATTGTAAAACACAAATAACCCAAGTACACAAATTTCGAGAGAGTAGGGATAACAGCTAAGGTAGTACACATTCCTAATGTTCACTTTCACAGCTGTGCTACACGTTTCAGGAGGAAGAGAAAGTCTGAGTAAGCACTGGGTTTGGTACTGGTGGCTCACTGAGAAACTCTGAGCATCCATTTGTAGTCTCCAAACTCACGTTTTCAGCATCCAGTCAGAAAAAACGCAGCTGTGAATACAGAAAAGTATTAGATGAAAGCTGATAGAATGAGTTAGTAAAGCCTGTTCTACAAAGAGCACGAAATCTGCTCATCTCTTCACACCTCAAAGGATTTACCATCAGATTCTAGTGAAGTAGCAGTCTTCCCACAGCCAGTTATGAATCTCTCTATTATAAATACAAGTTGAAAGCAGTGAGTCCCAGCAGTGGTGTATCTCTACTCCTGGCTGTCTCTGCCAAGTGCCAGGTACACCTCTCTGGGGCTGGAATTTGGAGAAGGGTGAAGTGGGACTGGGAGATGCCTGCTAAGAGCAGCCTGAATCACTGCTGCCAGCTCTAATGCAGAGTGGGCTCAGAACAAATTTTAGAATTAAGCTCTAGGAAGGAAGAAAAGTGACTCATGAAGAAGGCTTTAAATATATGTAATGTTTGTCCTCTCCTCACCTTATTCTAGACATATTAGTGTTAATTATAAAATTCATACCTTATTTCTGCATTACTTTTTAATTGGCTTAAGTGTTTAATTCAATTTTATATTCCTACTTGGCCCTCCAGAACCATCAGAATAACATTTTGGCCTTTCTTTCTTTCCATTATGCAGTACTGGTTTTTTTTCTTCTCCATTTTTCTTTGCATTTACTCCTCTATTCTTCCCCATTGTTGCTCTACACAGCACTGCTCAGGACCTCATGGCCTTAGCATTCAGAAAAGTAGTGCCTTGAAAAATTGTAAGGCAGGGTAGAACATTAGCTGGCAGCAGTAAAGAGCTGCAAGCAACTTTCCCCTTATGACAAGAATATGTAAGTTTTTCCCCTTTTGACATCTTCACACCTACGATACCAAATCTGTTTCAACACCCACAAGACTGGAACAAGCCTCTTCAGCACCATTAACCCCCCCAGTATTTGTACCCTGCTATCATTCTATGTGTTTCAGTAATAAATTCAAGAAAATACCCAAACATGAATGCTTGGACAGAATGCAAACAAGGAAAAAATGGAAGTTATGCATGGAAGTTATGCTTTTTTTTTTTTTGTCATAAGCAACTGTCAGGAAAAGGTTTCTATGAGTCAAGATTTCAAACTAAAGTTAAGAGTGTGGACAGAGAATTTGGTTTTTGTTACAGTGCATGTTTCTAGCTCTGCAGCTGCGATTTTATCTGTCATATTCAACCTAAACAACATCTGTGTGCCAGACATGTACCAGAGTGTGACATGCTCAAGCAGGCAGCCACAGAATACCTTATCGTTTACAAGAAATCCTTGATGTTAAGATCCGCTAATGGGTCCTTGGTTGGAGGTTTCTTGGGGCTCTGAGTAGCAGGTGTTGGGCTTGGAGAAAGCTGACAGATGCCAGCCAGGAAGGCAGGAAAAAAACAAAGCAGACAAGAATACACAAGCATTAGATAGACACAGGCAGTTCTCACACAAGCACATTGCAAGCATAACAAGTTCCCATTTGTCTGCAAGTCCAGCCGTTTTGCTCAAGCATCGTTTGGATTCCATCCTTACTACAGGGTTCACAATGTTTGGCAGGTTTAGTGGGTAGGGCTATAGGTACTGCAGATCCTAATTAGCACAGCTTGAGATCACTCCCTCCCTGTGAAACAGAATGGCATTACAATCTTCAACCCAGACAGAAGAGACAATTGTTAGATGTTAAAAACCAGGGTTCAGAGCAAGCAGAGTGCATCCTGCAGGGTACGACTGAAAATCCATGTTACTGGCAGTTAAGTACAAATTATTTGGCATTGGTAATGTAAATAAGAGTCCGAAACAAACTGGAAATATGACTAGATCATACTAGGCTCCTCCTTTGATAGGTATAAAAATCGTCATTCCATAGGAAACATCAGTTTTGAAGTTCCATGCAAAACTTCTGACTATGGTGGTCAAATGAATCTCCACTCTGTCCTTACTCCTCCCTGTTCCTACCTCAAGTCAGGGCACAAGAGGTATTTTACATATAGCCATGGCACCTTGATGACCACTCTTTCAGAAAAAAATTTCTGTGCCCCATCATAATATTCTTGGTAAGTGCAAAGATAGTTTGAAGTGGGAGGAAAAGCAAGACTAAGTATATTCTTAGAGCAATTTCAAGTTCTTTCTATTTTTACACAGAAAACCGTGACAAGCTTCATTGGGAATGTAGTTCCCTGCATAAAAATTGTGGTTTGCTATATGTTGATTGCTTAGTATTTGCAAAACAAGGGTAGCTTGGTTTCCAGGGTTACCAGAGAGATTTCACAGCTGCAGCATCAGCTTCCATCTCCCTCCTTACTTGAAAGGCAAGATGGACTTCTGACTCACAAAAAGAAAAATACTACAGATGATTAATTTCCTGCATCTCCCCTGGAAAGATTTTTTCTTTTCAGTGTTATTACAAACCAAACTCTATTTGAAATAATAGCCTGGGACATGTTTTACAGCTTATGTTGCAGCACCTGCTGAGTGTAGCTATAGTAAATTTTGGTAGGCTGTGAACAGAATAGCAGTGTCTGAGAGTTCCATTTGGAGCTTTGTTCAAATATCCTCCAAAACCAGATCTTGGATATAGTTAGCTGTAGGAGACTTTTCAAACCTGTTCCATTGGTCTCATACAAGGCCACTGAAAAAAAATCCAGGTGGTTCATGTGATTTGCTCCAAGGCAGGCAGCTGATCCTTGACAACACCTCATTTACAGACCCAGAGCTAGAGTTGAGCAGAGATAATGCACACACACAAGCTACTTTCTAGACACGGAGAGCAATTAAGCATTGGTGTGGCAGCGATGCTCACCTGCACCCCAGGGCCAGCGGCGGCTCCAAACGGGGGCCTCATCATCGGCTGCCCGTACATCACCGGCTGCTGGGGCATCATGGGCACCCCTGCACCTGCTGGGGGCTGCAAACCAACACTGAGTCAGCAGGGTCTGGGTGGGGGAAGGAGGGCAGCGTAGCAAAAGAGACTCACCATCCCAAATGCTGCTCCTGGCTGCGGGACAGGTGGAGTACCTCCTGCTGCAGGAACAGCACTTGCCGGAGGCACAGCTCCTGCCTAAAAGAAAAAAAGCAAAAAAAGAAAAAAAGAAAGGAAAAAAAAAAAAAAAGGCAAAAATCTAACACCAACCATCTGGAAACCACAGTCTCCAGCATTCTGAAAGCTGTTCTGTAAAGTAGGACTGTTATGCAGCACATATGCAGCCTCAAATGCTTCAAAGAATGAGAGAGCTGAATGAGTCCTTATGCTTAGCTTGTTTCTTCATAAGAAAGCAATGGTGACAGACTCCATTCTCTTCATGAACAGAGTCCATTTACTGACTACAACTCAAAATAGGCCCAAGAAAACACAGTTTCCTTCTCGTCCTACACAGTGTAAGAAAACATCCCAATTTCATAATAGCTAACACACTATGGCACTATTTGTAGCACTGTATTTTAGTAAAAGCTTACGCAGATTGTAAAGCTAAAGGAAATAGCTGCTGTAATTAGTTTACAGTGAAGGAAAAAATAATTATGCACCAAGATTCATTGAAGTTAAAGGATAAGTTCACACTCTTAAACCGCAATCAGAACCATTACATACTTCACTAAGGACAGTTTAGTTTATCTTGCTATGATTTTTATTCATATGCTTGATTGATGATTTTCATTTAAATAATAAAAGGCAAAAAAAAGGTTATCTTCCACTGCTCCTGCCTAAAAGAAAAAAAGCAAAAAAAGAAAAAAAGAAAGGAAAAAAAAAAAAAAAAGGCAAAAATCTAACACCAACCATCTGGAAACCACAGTCTCCAGCATTCTGAAAGCTGTTCTGTAAAGTAGGACTGTTATGCAGCACATATGCAGCCTCAAATGCTTCAAAGAATGAGAGAGCTGAATGAGTCCTTATGCTTAGCTTGTTTCTTCATAAGAAAGCAATGGTGACAGACTCCATTCTCTTCATGAACAGAGTCCATTTACTGACTACAACTCAAAATAGGCCCAAGAAAACACAGTTTCCTTCTCGTCCTACACAGTGTAAGAAAACATCCCAATTTCATAATAGCTAACACACTATGGCACTATTTGTAGCACTGTATTTTAGTAAAAGCTTACGCAGATTGTAAAGCTAAAGGAAATAGCTGCTGTAATTAGTTTACAGTGAAGGAAAAAATAATTATGCACCAAGATTCATTGAAGTTAAAGGATAAGTTCACACTCTTAAACCGCAATCAGAACCATTACATACTTCACTAAGGACAGTTTAGTTTATCTTGCTATGATTTTTATTCATATGCTTGATTGATGATTTTCATTTAAATAATAAAAGGCAAAAAAAAAGGTTATCTTCCACTACAATTCAGGAAGAGAGAACTGTTAGTTTAGTAGTCGGACTGCATTTACAGCACAAGAGCACCTTTAAAAAGGTCACCCCACCTCACTTAACTAGCACAGCCTACACATCATCCCTTTTGGCTCCCTTCTCTGTAACTTCCCATGCAGTGTCTCCTTATAGCCTTGAAGGCATCTAAACCTTTCCTTTTTACAGATATATATATATAAAATCCAAACTATTAACAACTCTGAGGAGAGGCAGAAAGTATTCAAGGAAGGGATGTAAAAATGGCAGTAGGATTTCATTATTGCTCTTGTATGGCCTAAGCATACTGGTACAATTTCTCAAGCTGTTACAGGAGCTATCTCTATGTGCTGTGCCTCCACATCCTTACACCCACCTGGAGTCAGTAGCATCCCACAAGACTTGGAGAGCAGCTAGCACACTTACAGTTCAAAGGAGAATTGCATCTCTGGAGATATGCTGGAACTGTACAGTCCACTTCTGTGCATGCTGCATTTTAGTGCCCTTGGCTGATCCTTTCTTCCAGACTAAAACATGCCAGTCTCTTAGGAAGCTGGAGACAAGTTAAGATAACCTGTCCCAGACTCATTTATCCAAACCACTACATTTTCTGGCTAAGAATTTATGAAATCTATTCCAGCCTGAAAGTTTTCAGGGGAGCATTTCAGTTAAAAACTGTACTGTGCTAGCAGAGTCTCCAAACTAAAACCAAGATCTGGACACTCAGGTATGTAAAGCAAGACATTAAACCACAGAGGTTAATGACATCAGATGCAGTGATCCAACTGCTTTTACAGGAACTCATTGTAGCTCAACATCCAGTTAGGCAGATGCCAAGAAAATGGCCGTACAAACTGAATCTGCTCTTGCCTCTAAGCACAAGGTCACTCGAGGGAATGGGGTTTGATGCAATTCTGCTGATTTTAATCCTGAAATTGAAAGTTCACAAGGAATGGAAGAAATGACCAAAACTTAAGTGGTTCAACAGTGATATGAATAAAAGCTTAATTTTTTATTAGTATTTGTTTTGCCTGCAGACCTGGATTTCTTTGGTTTCAAAAAGTACCTAAGTGCATGACTCTGAAGAAATATATACAACACACGTTTCATGAAATGCTATCAAAACTACCCAGCTTCCCAGAAAGACCAGTTACTTCTTACATGGTAAAATCACTACAAGGTCAGACTGATGCTGCAGAAACTCAAAATTTCAGGCAGTACAAGTCATCAGGTAGTTCACATTCAAGTAAAGCAGTAGAGAGATCATTTTCAAGCTTACAGCACAGAAATGGTTAATCACTACTGCCATATTCTGGCTGAGAATTGTCTGCTGGGCAAGCAGACCAAGAGGAGCCATGTTAGAAGCTTCTTGCTAGTTTTAAAGCCAGCAGTAGTAACTGTAGTGCAGGTGAGGTGCTGTTAGTATCTTCATGTTTAGTAAGTGCAGTAAGAGCTCAAAAAAAATAAATTCACTTACACTGTACAGTATTGCCCAGCCTTTCTATTAAGAAAAAAAGTTGATGTTACAACTAACATATTAAGTGAAGTACAGAGAATTCTTGTATCTTCCATAACCTTATGAAACATGCTCAGAGCCATGTTAACATCTGACTGTGGCAGCAAGGAACTGAACTGGCCATGGTCCCCCTTTAGAGTTCTTTTTTTCCTGCCAACCCAACTTCATTCAAATGGAGGCTGTTTTGAGCCTTGTGAGACATTTGATGAGGTATTACTCCTCTGCAGAATACTTTTGTGGATCACTCATTATCAAGCTGCTCTTGTTCCAAGTTTAGGTTTTTAGCTCAATTTGACACTCTTCTCAAATTCAAAATTAGTGCCTTCTGATACTATTTACAGGGTAATCTTACCTCTTCCAGCTGCTTTACCCTGCTAAATAAGCTACTCACTCCTGATCTACCATCAGGTACCTGATCAGTATGAATACTGTGTAGTCTTTTGATCCACTTCATTCAGTAAAACTTGAGGAAAACCTATATATTTTCTCTCCTTATAGTACATCAGCTTTGGATCAATAGTGTTTTATTTTGGGCACTTGACCTGGGCCTGATCCTGGCCAGATCTACGTGGCTAATCACACACTTGGAAATGCCCACAGGTATTAAATGTACAGGTGGAGCAATACCTTGGTACGCAAGCTAGTGTATTTTTTGTTTACTACTCAATGATTTATTTATACCAGCTGTAAATCTGTTCTTAGAAAAGGTGACTTGAAATACCCACATAATTTGCACAGAAGCAAACTCTTTGGCCTCAGAAGAGAGGAGCAGTCCTTACAGGTATGCTTGCACAGCACTATCAAATATTGGAAGACCAGTGCTGTCTATGGATTAACCACCTACCAAAGGACCGCCTGGGACACCACCAGTTGACCATGTTGCAGGTGCTACTTTTGGCTGCCAGTTCGCTCCTCCTGTTAACTTTTTCTCTCCAGCATTCCACTGCAGGTCTCCCCTAACAGAGAGGGAGAAAGGCAGGCTATTATTTGCATACTTCCACAGTGAAAATGAGAACCAGTTAGAGCACACATTAGCATTAGACGTGCAGCTACATTAGCTTATGGTGTATGCAGTTATTAACAGAAAGATATACTTTTAGTGACACTCAGTTTCAAGGGTTGTTAGCAGTAGACACCAGAACACTCTAAGCTGAAGTCAGTTACATGGTTACAGCCTTTGTGGTGAGAATTAAAGATACTTAGAGATTACTTAGTATTGACTGAAGGTAACGTATCACATATACCCTTGCAAAGTAGGAAGAGGGACTGCTACTGCCTATTCTACTGGGGCCAGGCAGGAGAGCTGCCTGCTAGATGTCTTTGAAAGGCCATTTCAGTGCTGGAAATCTTGCTCAGACAGCTGAAGAAGGAAAGCATTCAGTTCTGCAAAAAGTTGATAGATACAAGAGAAACAAATCATTCATAGAATAAAAGGGCTGTCGAAAAACCAGGTTTTGTTACACGCTGCTCTACCCAGAATAAAATACACCATTTGAACAAAGTAGATGGAAGGAAGATACATTTTGGGGCTAAACCTCATGATGTGTTTGTACACATTCCTCCTATCACCTCCACAGAGGCACAAAGCATTTTGAAGTCTTGCATACAGAGGAAGGCTCAGGGCACAAGCAAGCAGTTAGATTAGGAAGATAAAAACATAAACACAAGATGTAGGTATTTCTTTTTGAAAAAAATAAGCTTATCACTGCATGGAATGAACCTATTTTCTATTTTGGAAGTATTTCAATGCCTACACAATATACATCCAGCATCTGTAAAGATATAACACAACTATTACATATTAGCAAAGATTACTGAGGGGAGCTATACAAATATATATTATCTGGACTATTTGTTCATTATAAGCTGTTTGGAAATCAGCTATCCAACATGTAGACAGTAATTTACAAGAAAAAAATATTTCTAACATTCAGATTCAAGACAGAAATTTTATAAGCTATATCAGGAACACTGAACCTTAATTATTCAGTGAACCTGTACAGAATAGAATACTTTCTTCAGAATTTTTCTGGATTGAGAGGTCAGAGCATATAACCAATTCACTGCTACTTAATAAACACTGAAATAGATGTAGTGCTTTACACCAGAGTAGAAAACTTCCTTTTATCTTTAAGCAAAGTTGAACTTACTTTTTAGAAGTAGTACCAGAAATTCCAAGATCTGAAAATTGTAAGAAAAAGAGGAAATAAAAAAGAAACCACACATTTAGAAAATTGAAACCTGTCAGAGCAAAAGCTTACATTTCATTGCATTGGGGCCTATCAAGAGCAAAAAAAGTTTTGGCTGTCTTCATTTAGACAGTATCAGAGGACTGGCCACATCTACCTGTTCTTCAGGACAAACATCTGAGAAACCCTGCAGGTGTCTTGCACTTAAGAAAGTAATTTTTGCTTCAACAAACAAAAGTAACTATATTTAGGCCCACAAAATGCCAAGTTATTTAAGAGCACCAAACTATTTACCATGAATGGTAACACTAGTTTCTGTTCCTCATTACACATACAGAAATAAAAAGCTGTATTCTACATACACATAAATGTGGACATTGCCTATAAGTTTTCCACTGTTTTATTTGCTTGGTCACACATGGAAACTCCAAATAGTTTCTTTAAATACCCTTTGGAAGAAGTCTCAAGTTAAATTTTAAAGAGTACTCTTCTCACAGGACCATTATAAGTCCTGTAATTCATAAACTGCTGTTTGATTTTCTCCTCCAAACATGGATATAGCAGATGACTTACAGAACACGTTTCAAGGGATTAAGAGTCCTGCTGACTTCCAAGCACAGTATTTTCCTCCACACCTAACAGCCATGTCTGCATCATAAGATCAGTTACATCTTTGTTGTGGTGTGTTTACATATACTAAGGGAGTATTCATTTTATACAACTTCAGCAGGATTACACCTTAGTCTAGGTGGGCTTCTGTTAGGTTTTTTGGGGGGGCTGTGTCTACCAATCTCTAATTTTGGGGGGGCTGTGTCTACCAATCTCTAAAGGCTCTAGCCCTTTTTCCTGCTACAGGAAAGTACATATTTAAGTTTAGCATTTTCAGAACATGTTTGGTATGTTCTCTGTCCCTGAGAGAAGGCCTGTTCTTGAGTGCACCCATCACCCCACTACTAATCTTTCTGTCATTAAACATGAAGTCAGCTATTTGCGTCCGCCAGCTTTGCTGCTTAAACCGCCATCAGACACTTTGGACAATTTTCACCTTTCCATCTATTACAGAGGGACACATCCATTAAGAGTCTGATGTGCCTCTGAAGTGTACCTGGGCTGATCACACATTACAAATCATACCTACCAAACAAATGCCATTATTTAACCCAGATCCTGGGCTACAAGAAGGATAAACCCAGATTAAGTGAATCATCTATCTGAACCAAACCTTATTCCTGCTGATAGCTTCCCCAGTTTCCACAGCAGAACAGGAGTATTCTGAAACAAGCTAAAATAGACAGGTATTTGCTCCATGGAAGAGCAACATGCATGCCACACCACTTAAAACCAAAATTTGTCACTTACTGCCTACTAAGTTTGCAAGAGACGAATCAAGATCACTTCCAAGGCCTTTGCTTGCTGCTGCAGCAGGGACTGTTGCTGCGGCTGCAGGTGCTACAGGTTGACCAGAAGGAACCATTGTTGGCATAAGAAGATCACCTAAGCCATCAAACACTGGAAGTGAAAGGAAAGTGAGTTAGAACAGCATCTGTGATCAAAAATGCACTGCCTGCTACTCTGCTGTTGCTCAACGAACACAGCACAGACAACCACACCACAAGTCTTACCGAAACACCATTTGACATTAAAAGTAATGCCAACAAGGGCATGCATGTCATTTTACTAGACACTGAATGTACAGTAATCCTCAAAAAAATATACCAATGAAAACTAATATGAGAAAACATGCCTAGAAAGGATTTAATTGGAGCATTGAATCTACATAGATACAGCACCACTTCCACATGACACTATTTTTCTTACAACCATCCTTACAGAGATGTCAGATACACACACATTTGTCAGGAGATATTCATTTAAAGGTTTTTAAAATGAACATCTTGCTGCAAACACCAGTCAGAATTACTGTGGCAAAGGCAGTCTTATACCTTGACATCTCACAGCAACAGGATTGGCAGTCTCAAGATGTTACTATTCACTTGCAAGCAGCAGGGAATCGGGAAAACCTACTAACATCTTATGAGATCAGAAGGAACCAGAACCATCCACACAGACAGTGCTATTCTCCTTAGTCCAGTCATCTAACTCAGAAGTTCATTTTTTAGATCCCTTGAAGTCAAACTGCTTGGTACATCTCATGCCTGAGTTCTATCTTCTGATCTGTATTTGAGGTACATGCTAATGTTAAGTCAACACGGAGGGGTAGCATGTGCACTGGCAAGCAATCAAATAACCAAGCAGCAGTATTACTCCCATCTTTTTTTCTTGTACGGTTGTAGAACTCACCAATTTTAAGTTTGTAGCAAGGACCCAGCATGAAAAATATAGAATGGAAGAGATGCAAACAAAATGATAGCAGTGATAAAAGTTTAAGCTTATAGTCAGGCAAAGAACTCTAGGGCAGTTTCTGTTGAGTGTACCCTAAGGTGCCATGCAGGCTCCAGAGCACCATCAGAAGCAGTAGCAACATGACTTGCCTGTAGACTTGATTTACAGAGTAGAGTTTTCCTTGTTTGTGTAATTCCTGATTCATGCTATCAAGCACAAGCAAGGATGATGTATACACCAGTTTGTCTTTTACTGACATGGTAGAATATAAAATGGGTACAGAGAGCTCTTGGGCACACACCAGCCTTATCACCACCCTGAGGTTCTTCCAGTAAGAAAGAAAAATGAGGTCACTGATATTGCTTGTACTCAGAGCCTAAATACGGTGTCATTAACTCATCTATCACACAAAACATTAGAAAATTCACAGGAAGAAACCCTGTAGCTCACCTGATGCATCAAATGAACTGCCAGTTGTTGGAGCTGTTGTCCCAAAAGCTGCATCAAAGTTAGGCTGTAGTAATCCAGTTTGAGCTGGAGTGACTGGGGATGGTGATGGAGAGGGAGCAATAAAGGAACCTCCAAAGCCTTTAAAAAACACATAAGAAAGGTTAGGACATTAGAGTCAGCCTTGTTAGACTGTGTTTACCAAAACCTCGGTTTATAGAGGGCGGAATGATAAAGACAATTCTTACTAGACCATTTCAAAATAAAGAACATTTCAGCAGCCTGTGTGAGCTTCCCTACGTTTGTTAGGCTTACTTCAGTATAATGGAACCAAGAGACCCTCATAACGCAAATCCCAGCCCACAGCAAGTCCCACGCTCACCGTAGCTGACCCTGAATATGGAAAAACACACTGGCATCAGAGATCTGCCCTCATCTCTCCACAGTCTGTTCTTGACATCAGTTTGTCATGGAATAATGTAGGTTGGAAGGGATCTCTGGAGGCCAGCCAGCCACACATCCTGTTTAAAGTCAGTCTAATCAAATCAAATTGCCCAGATATTTGCCTTAGCACCTCCAAGAGGAGCTCTTACTGGCTCTCTGGGTGGCCTGTTGCCATATCAGACCATTACAGTATTTAATGAGTTTCCCACACACATTTCTTTTTTTTACTATCTTTGTGCATCTCCAAGAACAACCTCCTCTGCATGCTCCGGTGAGTTTAGACATCTATAAGCATCTTTGGCCTTCTCAAGGCAGAATGAGCCCAGTTCAGCCTCTCTGCATATGTCATATGCACAAGTCACCATCTCTGTGGCTCTCCACTGAACTCACTCTGGTGGTGCTTGATGCTCCACTTGATGCTCCACATCAAGAGATTCTCTAATACATTCCAGACTACCCATGCCCAGCTGCATTCCCCGTCTCCCTTCCAGCACATACTATGGTGGTTCCAGTTGCCCTAGTGCCAAAGCTTGTGACAGTGATGCTTTCTCCAGCTGCCCTAAAGAGGCTTCCCCTACTTGCCTCTTCTTGAGGAGGTGGTCTGCAGCAGACACTTGCTAAAACACTAGATCATCACCTGCCCACTTGCCCACAGCAAAGCTCTGTGCATCAAACTATAAGCACAAAAGTACTAATCTCCACAGAACCAGACCAGAAGCAGGCTGACCAGATCCAGGTCTGACAAAGGCAGTTCACTGCAGCAATTCCTAAAGCACAGGAGCCACCTAAAGAGCCTGTCTTTCCACTTCCTGAGTGAGAACAAGGAGTCTGGTAGAAAGGTATGAGCCAATATCCATTAATAAGATTCTGTTTAGGAAGTTCTGTAAGCTTTTGCAAAGCCCCATATAGTGTCTGTTTTTCCAGCTACAGAAGAGAGGACTCTCCAGCTTCTGGTGAATATTTGTATGATGACTGGTCTCAATTTGATGGCTTTTCGTCTTGCACAAGAGAAATTAAGAGATTAATTCACCTTTAAGAGAAATAACAGGCACAGAAGCTATAAAAATTCTTTAATGAACCAAGTTCCTAGTTGTCTAGAGACTGCACAAGACCTCAGAAAAGCCTGCAGAAACAGCAGCAACTGAGTTAAATGTGTTGTCTGGACGTCCCCCCAGCTGCCTGATTTTGAGGTTGCTTTTACACAGTCAAGTAAGATTTTATATAAGAACATGTTATTTGTAAACATGCTAGGACATACAAGCACACAGTTTGATTGGATAGAAAGATCTAGAAGGGAAAATGGCTAGAATGTTTTATTTATCAACATAGTTCTGGTTTTGTCTGCTGAAAGGCTTAGACTAGGAAAACATTTCTTCCAAATTTCCTAAGCAAGCCAAGAAGGGGAAGGAACTCATTTCACAGCAGAACACGTAAGGCAATTATGAATAGTAAGTATACTCATAACATTATGCATATAAACACTTAGTACAACCAAACACTCATAAACCATGAAGGACAAGCCTTCAGCCATGATATGAACTCCAGACACACTTAAATTTAAAACTGGATTACACTGCAGGCTATACATCTGCCATTATCTAGAGTGAACAAATGCTTAGCAATATGCTGCAATGTTTATAGACTCCCTCTGTCTGCCAAAAAATAAAATCAAATCTAGTTGGAGCCCTTTGGAATGTATATTCAAAACATAAATAAAATAAATTTTTAAAAATCATCAATTCACCCCAACTGCTTCAGGTCTGCTTGAGCATTTAGACCTAGAACACCCCTTTTACAATTTAGGTTTTGATTTAATGCAACTCATCAGATTCAGAGTGCACACTGCTGAAGTTTAAAGCCATCTGGAGCACAATTTCTACTTGCATTTAAGCTTAGTTACAGATAACAACAGATTTTGTACTGTAATGTTTGCATAAGCAGAATTAGCTTCTGTCCAACAACCTTGTTGCACCCAGTCTCTTGATAGCACATGTAATTGCAAAAGACTGTCATGCTCCAGAATCTATTAGTTAAAACTTGATCTATGGCCTTAAGCTATCTATAAACTAATACAAAGAACGATTGAAGAAATATGAAAAAAAAGTAGTCTTCCACCTTAAAATCTAAAGCAGTCTGTCCTAAAGCTTTACCATGTGTTTACATATGATGTCCCAATTTAAGAATCTGGCTTGCTGATTGAGAATGGATGTATGCCTTATTATTATCTAGACAACTTCTTCCTTCATGTGGCACACCTAGACAATGTCCACACTTTGAGAAGGTACTTGAAAATGTAGTCATAACCTACCCATAACTCTACAAATTGTGCTGGTTTTGTCTGGGGTAGCATTAATTTAAATCATGACACAAATTCCCCTTCCAGAAACATGGGAGAATTTAAGACAAGTCTTCTTTAAACCATAAGTGCATGAGTTGTGATTTTGCTCTCTACAAACTTCAAACTGGGATGGGGAGGAGTCACAGCTGTTTAGCTCTGTAGCCACACAATACATGGTACAGCACAAATTTTGGAGAATAGTACACAAAGAATTCAGCTGAAGCTTCTTATCTGTAGGGTGTAGACTAAAAAAATACAATTATCCAGCCTTTGATGTAGGGTGTGACAGTGATGCCACATTCAGCACTAGTAGAGACCTCATCTCATCCAGTATAAGGAGGGGTCTCTATCACTTCTTGTGCTCAGAAAACCATGTTCTCATCATCCCAGTCTCCTTGGCTAAATGCAAGACTGCTACCAAGTCAGTCATACAAGCTACTAACATTTAGGCGCTCAACCCAATTAAAGAAACCAAATCGAATGAGCTCAAAGTTTAATTAGCAGTAAGGAACAAGAAGCATATCCTGAAATATTGCTTAATTTTAGTACTCCTACAGACAGCCAAAGAAACTTTATGGAGACACTCATACTCAGTGAACAGTACAGAAAAATAAGGCTGTGTGGGAGGTAAGAAAACAAAGAACATGGAAAGAAGATAATCTGGAAAGTTAGATTGTATTGTACTTCAGTATACTGCCTCCATTATAAGTCACTCTAGTTTTAATTAAAACATCTAAAGTACTAAGAAATCTTGTGAATAAGTATTTTATTTCACTATCTACACCCAAAGAACATAAACAATTTCAAACACCATTTCTTAGTATTGCTCTAAAGTAACGAGTTTTTAGAAGTTCTTTATTACCAGCAAGTAGGTCTGCAGAAGCTGAGGAACTAGAAGCAGCCTGGGTAGTGGGCTGGGGTTCAGGAGCACTACTTCCAAAAGCATCTAAAGGAAATGCCAGAAAGCATCAAGAAAAAGTGAGGCATTCAATATTAAATACATCAATTCATCACTTATCAAAAGATGACAAAAGAACAGCCATTTCATACATCAGAAGAAAATGAAACTGCTTGGCCATCCTTATTGCAGAGCAGCACCATGGATGCAAAGTTCAGGTGGAAAAAAGGATGTACAACAAACCAGCCCTAGAAAGAAATCTCTTCTGCTTTATTTGGACCTCTTCTCAGATACAAATCACAGCATTCAGTGCAACAGGGCTTTGGAGATGAATGCATTGGCTGAAAGTTTGAAGTAATTCCAGCCGGGAGCCAGTAGCTCACATGAAATCTTCTTGGAGGAATATCTCACTAATATTTGATATTCACTGCTCCTAAGCACACTTCTGTTCTTCAAAATGCCTAGAGCTGGTTGTGCCCATCCTAATTTCCACCTTGTCAAATCCCGTGATTCAGATATACCCAGTCTGAGATAAGTTACCCTCAAAACTTCAGCTGCTTTGAGAAACGGAACTGAGAGGAAACAGCATGACCATGGAGATTAGCAACGAAGAAAAAAGAGCAGAATTTCACTGGACATCTGAGGAAGAGCCACACATGCACTGACTGGGGACAGAATGGCAAGTGTCATGACAACAGAACGACCACAGGACAGCTTATTTGCAGTTCGTTATGGTGCAAGTTTAAGAACCAGACGTGCCAGACCCAGCCCTAAGGCCACACAGAAAAGTTGAAAAGAGGAAACCCGCAGCTTTAGCAAAGCGCAAAGGTAGTTGAAATGAAGTGATTCAACTCTGAAGTGGTGAGGAAACAAAAATACCCACCACCAAATAGGTCAATCACACCTGAAGAATCCACCTTTGCTGGAGAGGCAGCGGGTAGAGGAGAGGGGGCTGCAAATGCATCCACTGCAGTAAGCATAGGATAAATAATATTTAGTATCAGCAAGGCAACAGTGATAGCTAAATATTTCAAAGCCACATGGGCTCCAACAGTTAGTACCACAAGTTTGGTAAATTCGGGTAATAGTCTCCAGAACTGCAAACAGAAAGTGTTACATTTCTCACACAGCAACTGAAAACCACAGTACTTTAAAGAAAACATTGCTTATTAAGCATTTTCTTATGCTTAGAGAAAGATTTGCTCTCCCAACAACCACATCACTTACTTAATGAACTTCACTGTCAGCCACTTCATGATTTGCATCTTCAGTAAGTGCACATCTTGTGATCAAAGCAGCAAACCCAAAACTTAATATTTCTTGATATTTCAGTTTAAAGATGTAAATTGGCAGTAAGTTGATTTTTTTTTTGACACTTTTGGAAAAAAATCCAAGCCCAGGAAGTCTGTGGAATGGCCTGTGAAAACAAGCACTCACCAGATAAAAGATCACCAGTGAGAGAACTCTCAGGCACAGGAGAAGCTGCAGGTTGTGGAGATGAAAATGTATCTTCCAGGAATAAAAGAAAGAACAAGAAGTAAGTATCACTCAAATCCATCTACACCATTACACAGCCTCAAAGCAGCAGAGTATCAGAAGAATTCTCTCTTTACCTGTACCAAAGAGATCTATGCTAGGAGTAGCATCAGGTTTAGGTGCTGCAGGTGCATCAGGAGCAGACTCAAATAAATCTAAGGCCAAGAACACAACACATCTTTAACTCATTTTTGAAAGGCAGGACTGAAAACAGAAGTTTCCAATTTTGCACATCATATTTGAAATTAATAGGCTCTCTGCTTTGAAAGCCTAGCACACAACACGCATGCAACAACGAATTGTTCATTTGGTACTCCTGACAGATCAATCCACCAGAATCAAAGAGTTAAAAACAAAATTACCACCAAATATATCTAGAGCAGGAGGAGCGGAGGTGGTGGCGGTAGCAGAAGTGGTGGCAGTAGTGGTGGTAGTGGCAGTAGCTGTAGTAGCAGTAGCAGCAGCAGCAACAGCAGCAGCTGGAGAAGGAGTTGTTGCAGGAACTGGAGTGGCTGCACTAGTTGTAGGGGTAACTACAGGAACAGCAGTCTCTGTTGGCTTCATAGCAAAGAGGTCCAGCTCAGGAGCAGCCTCTGCACTACCTTCGGATGGGGCAAAGGGGTCTTGTAAAAAGGAGAGGGGAAATATATGTGTATGCATACTTAGGATCAGTGAGGGAGGAAGTAAAGAACAAAGCAACTATAGGCAATGCACATACTGCAAATACACGCACGCACACAGAGCAGGTCGCTCTAACATCTAACTTACTTATCCAGACATGTTACTAAAGTTTTTCTAAAATAAAGACTGTCTAGAAGGCTGAGAAGTCTAGTTACTAGAGGGGAGAACTTTCAAAGGTTCTTTGACGAGGTCAAAAAACCAAATATGACAAAGGACTATCCAGGCTACTGCTTACAACTCAGCACTGACAGAACTGTTCATTAGCACTACCAAATAAACACAATGTCACTGGTACTTGGAAATAGGCAGTTTTGTTAAGCATGCTCTTCAGTCTAAGGTTTGTTTTTACCAATTGCAAGCAGTATGAAATTTTCAGAAAAACACACTGCCATGTAGTTTAAACAAAACAAAACAAAAAAACTAAAACAAAAACCAGCAAAACAAGAGACTATCTAATGACATAAAACCCACCATTTCCTGAACATGCATCAAGAGCTGCTGCTACAGGGGTTGGGGTAGCTGGTGCTGCTGCCCCTTCAGCTGCTGCAGGGGCTTCCCCAGGAGAAGCTGCAAAGGCATCTTGGGTGCAGTTTAAGAACAGAAATTAAAAAAAAAAAAAGGAATAAAGAGAAGAAAAATATAGTAAAAGAACCAAGTTAAATTGCACAGGTAGATTCCCTTATACAACATGAATGTAATTACTCCAACAGCAAGACAACTCATGCAGCGCAAAACGCTTTGTCTCTCCCCCAACCCCACACAAGCAGGTTCTAGTCAGGGTTTGCAGATGGAGCTTCTTGGGTTGCCCAGAATAAGCACAGTGAGTGCAAAAGAAGGCATTATTCTCATTGTATAAGGGTTCAGAGCAGCATGCTCATGTACTACCCAAAATCAACTAATTAACAAAATTAACTTAAGAGCAGATAGTAACAACTTGCATGCTCAAAGCCTGTATTACATGTGGTCAATCTGCAACTGTGAGTTTACTTGCATAGTGCTTTGCACTGTTATGAATAACAATCCAATTACTCTGGTAGATATTTGCAACTACCATATCTAGTCTTTGAGCCAAGTCAGCCATGCAACATCTGAAAAATTGAACTTACTTGTTTCTTAACAGTATTCCAACTGGATCTTTCTGAAGCCATAATGTGATGCATAGGTTATATTTACTCAGCTTGCTTCAAACAGATCAAGATTGTTCATCTTAACCAATGGCTGGCCAGCCATAACCTGTCTGTCCTTTTAGGATCACTTCTAGGCCAACCAGCCAAGTTAGAGAAAGCGACTAGTTTGAGGTTTCGGAATGACTTGCTCATTAGGTTTTTTTTAATTTTTTTTTTGTTTGCCACTTGCTCTTTGACAGTTTTTTCTTTTTGTTTGCCAGTTCCTAAGTGGCATGCTTAAATTTCAAGCTATGAACAGAATTATTTCTAGGCTTAAACCAGCATTTGTGCTCTTAATTCTAGGAAGTAGTCCTAATGGACAGTGCCATTTGGACTATCCTCATAGGCAAGCATTTTATCCACAAAAAAGGACTGCACAATGAGGATTAAATACTTCAAGATGCTTGTAAAGGACATTTTTCTACTGCTACAAAAATTAGCAAGTTAAAAACATCTTTTGGGGAATACTGCAATTGCACTGTCAAATTAGCACAGGAAACATGCTTTAACTTGACTGTCAATTTTAAAATGAAAACAACCATTTTAAAAACAAATTCGTGCCAGATAATCTAAAAAGCTCAAAAGAACATGCATCGAAACTTCAACAGAAGAGAAGAAAGCCCACTAGTCTTGTACAATAGAATTAAAATGAGTTAGTAGCAAAAAAGGCCTGCTAATAAGCCATTTCAAACATAATTCTATTTTTCAATAACAGGGTTGTTCAACAACAAAACTGGATGGCAGTTGTCCAAGTAAAAACATCAGAATGAGTCAAACATCCCAGTGCTGCGTGTGCACCAGACACTATCGAAGGGTTTTGCATCATCCTGCTTGAGAAGATGTTTTGTGTAACATCATGTGTGATCAGTTTTGCACTACAGGGCCAGCTTTCAGAAGAAGGGGCACCCTGGGCTCTTTCAAAAAAACGTATTTGTGCCCGCACAAGCTTGTAGTCCATCAGCACAGACATTGGTCAACCCTACTTATAATAGCTTCCCAGAATGAAAGGACAGACTCCAGATAACATTTAAGGCAGAAATTCAGAATGCAGAGAGTTAGCCACTAGTTCTATGTTGGGATCACTTCAGCCTCACAGTGATACTTACTCCTGTCCAGATTTAGGCTATTGAAATTCCACATATAACAGTCACAGATATTAAGATGGGCACGAGTTCCTCCCACCCCACAGATGCAAGGAACCAGTTTGGCACCAGCTTTATTTCTTTATTTTTTACTGACACTTCTGAGTAAGGTTCTCACTAAGCACTGTAATTTTTTTTAGCATCAGACTTGGGTTTAATGGCAGGTGGGATAAACACCTAAGTTCATACTGGAACCTAAATGAAAAATGTCATAGTAAAAACTCCTAATATTAGTTGTCTGATTAGTTCAAGAAACCTATATGAATACAGAGACAAACCAACTCGAACAGGTAACCCTACAATCCACAGCTTAAACCAAGGGTCTGCCAGGTTTAAGTTAGTGCTTAAGTCCTTTACAAAAGGCTCTGCTGCTCCTGCACAATTGCTCTCTTCTAAAATCTAGCACAACATACAAAAATGGATACAATTACACCTGCATATTTTATTATTTTTAAAAAAGACAGTTTCTGTTCTTTTTTGTTCCTTCATATTGTTGTAGTAACACTACATTTGCACATTCAGCAGTGTAGGAGATTTTCTCCCTTTAAACCAATTACTGTATTTTTTATATTTTTACATCTCCTGTCTAAAAAATGAATTTAGCTTTTGACTTCTAGAATCAAGCAACATATGGTCCTCACTTGATTTTCTTGACATCCTGAAAACTTAACAAGATGTTGCTGAAACCTTTGCGAGTTCACACTGCATGGAACATCTGCCAGGAGTGACAGGTATGTATTATGTACTGCATTACACTTGAATTCATAAATATAGTTCTTACTGAAATAATGTGCAAACAAGGGGCTTTCAAAGTTGTTAAACACTGAAGTAGTGTTTTAATACATCTTGTCTGCAGCAAAATAAGTGTTCCTGCAGTGATCTCTTTCATCTCACAAATGCAGGCTTTATTTGATGCCATGGCATCAATACATGACAAATTTACTCACACAAATGATACAACTGACTTATAATCATTAATGTACTATGAAACTTGTGAAATAATCCTGTGGAAGTCATAAGTAGAGGAAAGATTATAGAACTGAAGTGTGCACAAGAAAATGTTTACAGAGTTTTTTCCCCTCTTCAGTCACCCTTCATTACTATTTGACACAGAACACCTGACCTGAGTTATAAACAAATATTTCACTAGGCTCAGAGATAGGAAATAATAATAATTATGCAAAGTATTTGTTGTTTGTTTGATATTTATTAACTAAGTGCTAGCTTGCTATACCAGCATGGACCAGCATAAGGGACACACATTATCCCTTAACTGCCGAAAGTCTTCATTATTTTGCCTGCAGTTTCTTTACAGGAAGACCATAGTTCTGCCTACTTACAATTCAAGTCACCTGAATGCCTAATAACTGACATTTGCACAGCGTCTGCCGTGACTTGTTACTTGCACTGATTACAGAGTAATCCCACAATAAAATGTAACTCAAGTGCACAATACACATATCCAAAAATACTGTGCCCAAATTCTATTACTGAGTGGCATATCAAGGTATTTGCATTCTTCTTCTTCTACCTTTGCATTTCTCTTTCACAGGAATGATTCCAGCTGCACTTTGAAAACAGCCTCCTCTTGTTTGTCTTTGAAACACGATTAGGAGTTCCTCAAGTTGGCCCAGGTCACGGAAAGTTTGCCTCTTAATGAGATGGAGTTCTTTAAAAAAGCTATGCTGGATCAATCCTGCATGTCTCATCTGCTTTCCAATACCAGTATTGGCAAAGAACACATAATGCAGAGCTTATCTCTCAAAGCCCAGTTCTAGGCAGCAGGCAGACTCCTATCAGCTGAAGCATCAGCCATACAGTGCAGTCACCAGTTATTCCAGCCTCCTCTACTGCTTCTTCCTTCAGCTTGGTCACCTTTTCCCAGTAGCTTTCAGCTTCTTTCCCTACACAGACACTCCCTGAAGACTCTTTACATTCAGGAGAACCTGAGATCACTGCTCTTGTACCTTCTCCTAACCATACCAGACCACAAGAAATTGTGTGAAGCAACAAAGCCCTGGCAAGCTGCAAGAAGTTAAGGTGACCTTGAAGACGCTATCTCCAGCAGACCACAAAGGTGGAATACCTACTTAACAGGATTAAGTGTAGGCATGTCTAGCATCACAAACACCAGAAAGCAGCAGTGTCTGCCCAAAAACGACCTCTTCTAACACTGGACACAGTCTTAAGGTTAAGGAATGACAGTATATGATGCTAGAATATACTTACATCACAGCCTTCAGGGAAAAAAAAAAAAAAGGAAAAAACTCAAACCATGAGCAGAGAGATGGAAGTTCAATGGATCTTAAAAGGCTCTGTCCACTGGGTGTCTTGAAGGCACTGCAAACAGTATTTTTACCGCTGAGTATGTGTAGAGATTTTTCTTATTGACAAGTAGAGGTTTTCTGCTACCATAAATAATAGAACCTTGCTTCATTCTGAAGTGTTCCAGGAAAAAAAAAATCAGTATGCACCTAATATATAATCCACTAGAGATTTAGTGCATTTGAGTGACAAAATACATTCTCTTTAAAGGAAGAGATCAAGTCGCAGCATTCCACATCCCACAAGACTGAAATTCTTTCCACACTGAATGGTGAAGCTCCACTTCTCAACATGCGTCACTAAGTTATCTAATGATCAGTTAAATCTCCAGAAACTAAACACATCCTGGTCTTTGCCTGACAAGCCTGGAAGCAGGCACATGATTTGGCAGTAGCTGTTTTTCCAGGCACAGAGTAGTGGAAAAGGTAGAAAAAAATATTGCATCTTGTTGCTGTAGTACTGGAAGAACAAGCACAGGTAATTGTTTTTCTAATCCTGCTTCAAGTTTACAGTGATTTCTATCAATTTAACTATTCTTTTACTTTTCAAAAAGTCATATACCTATTACTAAATTAATTACTAAATTAACTACTAAATTAATTACTAAATTACCAAGTTAATGAATTAATAATACAATTAAAAAGTGTAGTATCCAGGACTGGCTCTACCTCAGTGCTTACATACCATAAGTTGCACATTCTATGCATCTGCAGGGTTATTAATAAGCACAGTCCCAGGCTTCTGCAACACACTTCTGAGAGCAACCAACATCAGACTCTCTCTCACTCCTAGTGGCATCCAGAGCCTTGCCCATGACAATTTTGAAGATGCTTCTCAACTGGTTGATCTTGTGGCATTTGGATTATTATCAGTCTTTGTAAAAGGAGGGGTAAGCAGCAAGTAGCAGTTGTATTCCTTTCTTAGGGCTTTTCAGTACTTTACTGGGGCATATTTTGGTGCTATCTCTTGAAGCCAGTCCTAAAAAAAAAAACTTCTAACTGGGAATTTCAGTCTCAAGAAAACACCTTTATAGTCAAACTGCTTATGTATGAGACCTCTCTGAAACTCCTGTCAGTAGAAGTGATACATAAACACACCCCGCAGAGAAGATACTGGAATTGAATCTTGATAGCAAATAAGTTATTACTTATTCCTGACATCCCCTGTCATGCTGGAAGTACGGATGAGAGAAGAGAAAACTAGAAAAACACAGTGGTCACGTGATCTTATGTACAGTTTGTAAACGAGCTGGATCAATCCTGCTGGATCAATCCTGCTGGATCAATTACTGGGCTGGTATATTATTTAAAAAAAAAATGGAATTTCTAGCATGCTGTTAGGAAGCCTCCTGCTCCACAGGAGTACCAAGAAAACTGACAACATACAGTGGGAAATGTAACATTATAAACTGAATAAGAACGACTAAACGCTAAGAATATTTTTCCTTTTTTCCTTTACATATTATTGTTTTCATAGTTGGCATTTAGTACAAGTTCATCACCCCTTCAATTTACTGCAAATACTTGTGAAATATTTGATTCAAGATTGCTGAAATACAGTAATTTCAGCTGGCTCTATACTCTATTTGCAGGAAATACCCAAAAGAAACACAACAGAGCACAAGCATGACACATAACAAAGGGGAGGACATTGCCACATCCATCCCCTTCAACTACAAAAGCACAGCTGCTTTTCTCAGAAATTGTAGTAGAGTGCATAGTTATTGAATAATGTGGAAACAATTCCTGCTTATCCCCATGTGGACCTGGGAACTACTGTTCTTAGCTGCTCAGTCAAAAGGTTACTCAGGCTTAAGGTTTACAGTTTTCCATATATATGCAGCTGCTTAAACCAGAGGCTTTATTACACAGCCGAGCTCAGTATTGCTTCGACTGCATCATAGACTGGTGTGGAGCACTACAGCAACCCAACTAACCTCCAAAGAGATCCACTTCAGCAGTGGCAGCAGGGACAGTGGTAGCTGTGGTGGCAGCAGCCGTAGTAGTTGTAGTATCAGTAGTTGGAGCAGTGGCTGCAGTAGGCTCTGGGGCAAATGGATCTGAAATCTGTGGCTCCGAGGTAACACCAGCAAGTGCAGCCAGATTATCTATATGCAACCATTTAATGAAGAGCAAACAGGAAAGGTAAGGGGAAAGGCAAAGACCACAGTTGCTCAGCCCCACAAAGCTGGAGCTTTTAGTGAGGAGTCTTAACATACAGAGGTCTTAGTAATTGAAAATATTACTCACCCTCTCCCAAGAGGTCTAGTGATTGTCCATTAAAATGACAGCAGAATAAAAAAACAGAGTAGTTAGTAGAACTGCCAGATTGAAGACATTCATTAGCCAAATGTTCATTCTAAATCACATGTCTAGGTTATGTCTAGAAACGTAATCTCTACACCCGCTTTTCTAACATTCAGGAAGTTACTCTGACATGACAAAGCTCATTCTGTCTAATAACTCTTCAAAGCAGAACCAGTACACCCCTAGAACCCTTCACAGAACAGGCACTAAAGCAAGGGTACTTTAGCAATGAGCAGCTTGCAAATAGTGTTGTTACTTCAGAATATGATACACGGCATCCCTAGTCCCCAAATACATTCTGAGAGACAAACAGGTGGTGGTTCTTGGACTTGGGACAACTGTCAAGTGCAAAATAAATAAATAAATAAATAAATAGAGCAGCTCCTCTTCGAAAGCCTTTTCTGCATTTATGATAGAGCAAACATGCTCTGCAGGAACAACTAACTCTGTTAACACTTGCTACGAGGAGTATGAATGTTGACAGCATAAACATAAGCAGACTGGCTCTGCTCCAAGTTTGGCTCCTTAGTCAACTCTTTCTGAAAGCCAATTAAGCATCTTTAATGACAGAGTTTCCTACAATTTGATGTCCTTTAAGATCAGTCAGATTGAGCTCAAACACAGAAGTTTTGCCTACATAAAAATCAGTTACGAGATATAAAAACATGTAAAAATGAATGAGTTTGTCCTATTAAATTTTTATTCTGTAGTTAGCAGCTCCCTATTTACTAACCAGTATCTCAATGCTGCTCCTAGATTCTTTGTACCCATAACAGGGTCATGGGTTCATCTTAACAGCAAGCTTTAGTATTCAGCTGATGCTTTAGTGCGGGTCAGCATCTGGAAGCAAAATTATTCGAGCAGGCACAGCCCTATCTTCACAAATTTGACTTTATTTTACAAGACTTGCAAAAAAAGGCAGCAAAAACCTACATTTAGGTTGTTTACAATTTTCATAATTGGTTCCTTGGGTGAGCTCTACTTGAGACTGACGGCACAAGCTGAACTAAGCCAAAATACCATTCTGAAAGAGCAGAACAGTACATTAAAAATGCAGCACTCTGGTATCCCATTACTGCACACCAGGTGAATGTCTCACAGCTAGACTTGAAATAAACAACTGTTGGCAAACTTTTAAGTTCTATTAGCTTAGTCTTCAATGCCTTTTTGTTACTATGTTATAGAACTCAATACAGTGAAGTGACAATTATCCAGCATAGCAATCTACACTCAGTCTTAATATGGGAATGATTAAAAACAGTGGGTTTTTTGTACAGTAATATTAATGTAAAAATACTGTTAGCAAATCCATGTTCTAAGGCACACTATAAGGTAGTTCAGAGCAGAAATTCAAGTCAGTTTGCTTTTATATCCAAGAATAAAAGTTCACAAAGATGCAAGCTTTGACCTACTGTATGTTTTGTAATACTATAGTCTACTCCACCTGCTAAGTGGCTATCTATTCTCCTTGAAGTATGCTGCAGGCACCATATTACACTATCTTGATGGTCTCCTGATACCACAGAAGTGTATGAATTTTCACACATTCATTTGCGATGACATATTGTGTATTCAAAAATACAGCATGTATACAACAAAACACACAGTGTACTGTACATAACCCCAAATATAATCCAAATACACTGAATATACAGCATATGCCAAAATACATAGAATCTACACTGCCAGCAAGACTGAGAAAAGCACGATTTTTTATTATTGATATGTATAGATGCTGCAGCATGAAATATTGATATTCACATTTTCCTGGCTATTCTGAACCGCAGCACTTCTTCCAGCTTCCTCCCTGTAGTACTATTTTCTCAAGAGTTCCCACATTAACTTGCTGTAGCCCAAAAGAATAAGCAGCTTAAGTAGCAGGGAGGCATGGTTACACAGCCTCCTGAAAGTCCTGGGTGGAATGGGAATTTTGTTCACTCTTCTGCTCAGAACCACAGCGCTCCCAAAGGCAGATCAGGTCAGTCATGGCTCAGACAAGTCAGGTCTTGAAAAATCTCCCGGAATGGAGAGCTCACTAGCTCTCATCAGGGATCTGCCTCAGTACTGTCCTACCCTCCAGGTGAAATACTTTTATTCTGTCAGAGAGTTCAAACAAAATGAAACCCCAACAAAAACAAAACAAAACAAAAACAACAATAACAAAAAGCAAGATTCCAGTGCGGTAACAGGTCATCGTACCCGGACTGCTGCCAGCAGTAAGGCAGACAAAGCTGAAGCTTACTAACTTACCAAAATGCTATTCTGAAAGATGAGAATGAAGTTTATTTAATGAGGGTAGTAACAACTTTGGCCATAGGAAAATAATTAGCTGTCCTTTTCTGTCATGGAGTAAGACTAAGGGCATTATTAGTAAATTTTAAAGTTTTTAATACTTCAGAAGAATAAAACACCTAAGTTCCAAACTATGGATGTTTTGTCCCAAAAGGAAAAAAAAAACCACAAACAAACAAAAAAAAACCAAATCAGCTTTCATTTTCTATGCAAATCAATACTTTACATTACTGGCTATTTATTTGTATTTCTGTTATTGCAGGAATGAGCAACTCCTTAAAAAAGTTAGCTCTTTCATGTTCTTTCAAACATCTCAAAGCTTGTATTTCAGTGCTTGGCAATGACAAAGTAAGACAAATAGGACACAATCAAAATACTGCAGAATAATTAGTCCCAGGCATCCTAGAATAGATGACTCTCTGGTCTTGCTGTCTGGGTAAGATTATCTTTCTGTTAATAAAATTGACATTTGCAGGGACAAAAAAAAGAAATTAATTCAACAGATTAAACTGGAATATGCAATACAGTGTCTACATGACAGCCCTTGCTATCCTCTCTTAATGAAGTGGCTGCAGTACAATGTCATCTTTAATGAGCTACAACTAGGAGCAGAAATAGGCACTGCAGAAGCCACCAGTAGCCAGTATGAGCACTGACAGCAGAGTCAGCATGACTCAGTGCTGCATTCCCGCTGGGAGCAGGTTGGTGAGTTCATTAAGCTGCCACACAGGATCCCTTAAGATTACACCACAATCGGTTTACAGCTGTATAAATTAAGTCACATTTACTGGCTTAATTCCTTGTTTTAACAGGACAAGAGTGAGCACTGCCTACATTTACTGTGGTCCTCCAGATCACCAGCTGCTACTGCTGCCTGGAAAACAGGGTCAGATTTCAGAGAGCTGGTTAGTTATTCCTTTTTGAAAGCAGTTAGCCCTCTACATCTATTTCCATATTAGTATTCTAAGCACACACAGAAGATACTTTATTAAAATATGTTAAGGCTTGTCAGAAGTAATCACACTGGCAGCAGAACTAAGTTGCCACCATTTGCTTTACATGCATTTTTGTTTTAAAAGCTATTTTTGTTTCTCCTCTTATTGATCTGTGGCCTTTGCTCCATGAACAGAAGAGCTGGTTTCTGCCCCCACCTTGCCAATAAACACACAAGCTGTTCTGCTTCTTCTGTTTGAAGTGCCTACCCTACCTGCTCACCTTCATCCATCCCCTTCCTGCTCACTTCTAGTCACATAATCCTGGCTCCCTCAGCTTTGCCCTTATAAGCAGCTTATGCATATCCCTGGAAAGAAGCAGCAGCCTTGTGCTGCAGAGGGATGCCTGACTGTCAGGTCAGCAGAAGCCTGGGAGCGAGCTGGGAACATCCTGTGCTAGCAGAGAAGGAGGTAGATTTCAGGTCAGCCAGGCAAGAAGATGGAGACTGCAAGAAGGGATGCTGACAGTGAGGTTTCTCTACCTCCCCACGAAGTGCCTCCAGCAGCAGGAGCAGCAGCAGCAGCGCCTGCAGGAGCAGGTGCTGGAGCTGCCTGCCCAGTACCGGTAAAATCTGGCTGAAGATCCAAAAGATCACTGGATGGCTTGGAAGAGCTGCCAAGAAAAGAAAGAGAGACATTAAATAGTGGAGGAATTTGTCCATTTCAATAATTTTTTTTTTTTAAAGTCATGACTGGATTAAGGAATCAACCTTAGTTTGGATGAAATAGACTTTTTTTCAAGGCTTTAGGATTAGAGCAGTGGCTGTAAACACCTCTAGTAAGCACCCAAGAATATGCTACAACCCAGGATGGGAACCTTAACTTGCTTCTATTTCCTGATAATGGCATCACAACAGATCTACAAGACTTAAAATTCTTTTAAAAAAACCCAAGTAACCAAACAAAAAAAACCCAAACCCCAACCCAAACCCAACTAAAAAAACCAAAAGAAACCCCACCATAACACCCAAAACAGAAATGAAAAATTCTAGGCGGTGCCTGAAAACAGAGAAGATAACTGTTGTGACTGAAACCAGCACCATTCTACTTCCATATTTCATCATGCCACGTCAGCAATCAAGAACTTTGCATTTCCAGGCAATGAACCGGCTTTAGGTAGAAGAAAACTGGCAGAATTCCTATGGGTTAAGCCAGTGAGTTATTTACTTAGGAAACCAGATATTGTTCATCTAGAATATTTAAATAACAAACAAATTACTTTGGTACCTATATCAAGCTCAGTAACTCAAATACACTTTTTAACTTACCTGACTGGAGCAGCTGTAGATGAAGTTGCAAAAAGATCAACCGGAGGAGATGTATCAATAGTTTTTGCTGGAGTAGAACTAGGAGATGTAACAGTTGTGGCTGGAGAAGACTGGAGAAACATTTTAAATATACATTCAATATACCAGCATTTCTCCCCAGCCAGCTCATGCACAGATGCACATACTTTAATAATCCAATTTTGACATAATGTCTTTTATTGTGAGCTGTTTTCTCCTCTGAAATAATTTAAAGAAGACTGGACTAAGTTTTCAGATGGTAGTAGAGCTGAGAAACCCCATTGTGACTTCAAAGAAGGAGAAAAGTTTCCACAAGGTTTATTCTAAAGGAGTTGTTTTTATAACTGTCAGACTCTTCATTTTGTCTATGGAATGAAATATTTGTTTGTCCACAACAGCACATCGGTACTCTAACCACAGAAATGGCGAGAGAAGAGAAATGGTAAGAAACTAGTTAAAAGTGTGTTTCTTCAGGAAAGGGTTCAAAGAGCCATCAGAAGTGCTCAGGATTAAGCTCTTGGGAAGGTACAAAAGACAGCTCATCCTATGACTTTGCTTCATTAGCTGCTCCAATTCTGGATAAAGATACTTCAAGTATGGCAAGGACAGACACCCAGAAGAGTATATAGCAACTCTTCTGTGAACTTGAAGACTCAAGTTACCTTGTAGAGTGTCAATATAATTCCAAAAGATACTGTAAACTTTGATACAGCATCCCACATGCTAGAGACCCTTTACCTAACAACTGAAAAGAAGTCCTAATTTTAGTACTGTTTGCCATTCTGACCACTTCCAAGAAGGAAAAAGAATGGCAAATTTGAAGAGATTTTCTCCTGAGTTCTTTTACTGCCATCCCATTATCACAACTCTGGTAGATGGGCGTAAGCTTTCTGGACTCTCCCCAAAGCTTTAGTAAGGTTTGAGACTACAATGGCCCCAATCCCTCACGTACACCAAGGAAGATGTGGTTAAAGCTGTAAGAACACTTTCTGAGCCATCATGTAGTTCTCACCAATTGCTCTCGTAAACAGCAGAGCTGTGGGGGTTACATTTTTTTTGTTTCATTTGGTTTTGTTGTGGTTTTTTTTAGTAAAGGGCTTTTCAGAAATAAATTTAAGAGCTCTCTCTAGAATCAAGCATTGAACCCCCTGCACTAGATTCAGAAGATTTCATTGAGTTTTTCCTCCACAGCACACATTATGAGATACAGCTATGGCACCTGGCAATGCTCCAGGGATACCAGGAGCTACTATTACTAACACCACAAAGCTCATTAGTTTATCTGACACTCAAACCAAGGCATTTTCACTGTCAACTCTTCCTTTAAATTAAGGTCAGCAGTCTCACTAATGAAGGTCATTTCTGAAACTAGGTATGATGGATGAAAATTTTCTTCCTTTCTTCCTAGCTTTTCATATGAACGTGATTTTAAAAGAGTCAGAACTCCCTCCTAAAAAGCTGTATTGTGGGCGAAGGATTTGGAGGAAAAATACCCTGGAGCAAGTTTCTTGGTGACATGAGAATTAAGGTGGGAGGGGGGAAAGAAAAAAGGGGGGGAGAAAAAAAAAAAAAAAAAAAAAAAAAGAAGAAGAAGTTGAGATAAAAATATGTGTATCTTTTATGCTTTCACAAGGAGCAGTCATCACATCCAGGTGAAGCTCCTTAGCATCCTGACTGGCACAAGCACTGCAGCCCCTCAGAACAGTGACATGCTCTATTGGGGCCACTGTTTATAAAGGCATTAAAAGAGCTAATATTGTCAATTAGGTGGCAAAGTCTAAAAAGTAGATGAAGAGATGGAAATTTAGCTCCTTACAATGTTCTAAACCATACCACCTAGTACAATAGAACATTCTACCTAGTAGAATTATCTAGTACAGCAACTCTGTTTATAAAGGCATTAAAAGAGCTAATATTGTCAATTAGGTGGCAAAGTCTAAAAAGTAGATGAAGAGATGGAAATTTAGCTCCTTACAATGTTCTAAACCATACCACCTGAACAAGAATTATCTAGTATAGCAACCGGCAGTATTTACCTTGCTCAGAGGAGAAGGAGCCCCAGATCTAGAAAAAAAAGGGGGTTTTCAGATAAGTACAGCTTTGAAACTATGTTTCTGGTCATCAAAACTCCTGCAAAAAGACCAAAACCCAAGCATGAAAGCTTTCTGAAGATCTCTTCAATTGCATGCCCTCTACATTTCTCAAATTTCCATGTGCCACTTTAGACAAGGAATGCAAATTTTACTTCAAATCTTAAATTAATCTTTTAAGCTAACTGGCATCACAGGATTATTCTGCCTTTTAAATAAGCTCTAGTAAATGGAGGAAATGCAGAGATGCATGCCAATATCTTGCTTTGGGGCCTACAGGACCCAACAGGAAAGAGTTACTGGGCCAAGATGTCACTATATTAGAAAACCATGCAACAGCAGCAGAACACCACCAATACTGGAGCAGTTCTCTAACATAAGTCTTCTGAGGATGTGTCAGCAAATTTTCAAAGTCTACTTTCTTTTAAAGAAAGTCAGAATTACTTGAAAATAACTACATTTAAAAGTATGAAAACAGTGAGTTGGAAAGTTCAAGCTGAAAGTTCTCCCACATGCACAAAAATCACACTAACAGTAACTGACAGAGCCTTAATCATAATTTAAAATGCACGTCAGTGCATTTGTTTGCTTTCATTATGAGTTATGAAAATACTGCTACATATTTTTAGAGCTGCTTTGATCTAAGAGATGAAAGGAGGAGCTGAAGATAAAGCTGCACCAGTATTGAACCAGCATCCATTCCATAAGTTACTTGAATTGGATAAGTCCTAAGAGCTGTAGAACAGATTAGAAGTTTTCCAGACCTTCTAATCACAGAAATGACAAAAAAAAAAACTTAATGTCTATATACAGAAGCAAAGAACAGTTTAGCTCAACTCAAAGAAAATACCTATGTCTAAGTGCTCAATAAAATCTTTTAAAAATATACATAACCATGCCTGCAAGCAAGTGATGTGTAAAAGTATGTACTTACCCTTCACTAAATTGCAAGGATAGCAACAGTAAAAGAGAAAACAGAGGTTTAGCTTAATCCTTCTTAGACTTAGCCATGGCAAGTATCTAGTATGAAGATGCAAAATCATTAGAAAAGAAATAGATTTTGATGATAAAAGCCTTAGCAGCACACAAACTCCCAGTTTCTTCTAGTTTTCCTCAGGTAATTTTAGTTCATTTTGGAAAGTGTCTAGTTGTTCTGTGTGTTTCCCCCACCCGCCCTTAATTAAAGAAAAGGTTGCTATTAAGATGACTTTGTAAAGGAAAGGAAAAGCCTTGTCTTATTTCCTAGCTAAGTGACAAAAGGAGGTTAGGGGAGGCAAACCTAAATATCAAGTAATCTCACACTGTCTCTATTATGCCTAGATATGTGCTAAAACATATATACCTACTTGTTGCCAGGTTTTTTTCCTTCCAGTGAGTTTAGATGTTGCTCAAGGGTCTCCATGAGACTGCTGGGAGCCTTGAAAGTGAAGAGAAAGATACACAGCTCAATGTATTGCAGTGACCTAACCAGAGTTTGAAATCCAGCAGCAACTTCCCTGAAGTCCATGATGTGCATGCTCACGCAGTTACTTTATTTACATCAGTGTGGAAAGAGTGGATTCCCATGCTAGAAGTATTCAGGCAAAGCTGGTTTTTAAAAATATATTACTGTATCCAAATTTGCAGAGAGAAAATGTTTACCTCCACTATGCAGCACCTGAAGCCTAAATCCAGGATGTGCTGCTCATCATGCTTTAAATCAGTGTTAAACATGAACAGCACAGGCAGCCACAGGGTTGATTTTAAGATTCATGGGTTCAAGGTCACACTTAGTTTTGCTTGTAGTCAGATCCCTCAACACCCCTTTCATTACCAGACGGTTAGAAAGCATTTGCAGCCTGAACAAAATAAGTCCTTTCCAATGCCCCAAGAATGAGCTATCTTTGGCTCAAGACTCCCAACATCACAAAACCTTATAGCTGTTCTCAAAATGGTACCCTGGCAGAGGTTACTGTGCAGCCAGCTTGAAGTGCAGAAAGATTTCTCTTTTAGACATCTATAAAAAACTAGGCTTTTTCAGGCATCTCTGATCTTAGGTTTTATTTTAAGCAACCTTTTTGTGGTCAGCAGCCAATACCCACAGGCACTTGCTGTTACAATGGCAGATAGAAAAAGTGGTTGTAAATGCACACTGGGCTTAGCTCTTCCAGTATAAAAATAGAGACTGTGTAAGTAGACTCCTAGAAGATCACCAAGCAGGGAAGAAACCCTTGAGAGACACAGTAGCATATAATAATTGAATATTTCATCAGGGTTAAAAGTTCATCAGCTCATCAGTCTCTAAACAGGGAATTCTCTTTACCAGTCTCTTTCAGATCAGCCACAACTCCTGACAGCAATACCTATGATGCTTTTCATAAATAACATCTTTAATTTCAGGGCAGACATAATTATCAAACAAGTCAGTTTGTGATGCTTGGAAACAGCCAATCCTCTGTTCCTATACTGAGAAACCAGCCAGCCTGCTGAATCAGATATTTCAGGATGCATAGCACCTGCTAGTACCAATGCACAGCTGTACAGTGCACAGTGCCTGCATATTGATTTCAGCATTAAACCCAGTAACTTAACACATCCAGAAATTTAAAACGCTCAAAATAATCTTAAATGACAGATTGAGTTTAAATACATCCTATGTGTATATGCAAAGGAGAGACATCTTGACCTTGCTGCTTTTACAGGCATATTTATTAACTTTTAATTCATTTGGGCATAATATGAATTGGTTAAACACAAGTGACCTAGTTATAAGAATTCTCCAGCAGGAAGTAAAAGAAGAAAGGTAAAACAAACTGAAAAATCTAGAGAGATTCAGACGTCTGAATCTCTTTTTACGTCTTTTTACGTATTCAAAAAGACTGTATTGTAAGATACACATTGTGAGACTTTAACACGTAAGTAAAAGCTATGTTTAAAAAATATTTTAAAAAAAGATTGCATGATTCACTGTTACCAGTTACCTCTAGACATTTTAGATAGCTTTCCATCAGTCAAAGGTTTCTTAAAAACCAGCATGGTAATATAAAACTTATCTATCAAACAGAACTCAGAGAAGAAGCTTCAGAAAATTTCTACTCAGATGCAACAATCTGGAAAGGAAATACTATCTGGTACCCAATTTTCAATACTGAACATTGCTTAATTTCTTGTAGATACTGCTTGAACATTAGATAATCTATCAGTCAGCATTGTGCTGGAACCTTAGATATGGGTTCCCCACTAGCTGCTAGGGGCAAAACTATCATATTTTAGGAAATACTAGCAAATAAACATGAGTCAAGATTTTTAGCTGCTAAGATGCCTTCTCAGCCTCCAAAATTCTGCAGCCAAACTATAAAGTCCAAAGATGACAACTACCAACCCAAATTATACTACTGGGACCACTGTCTAGATTTGCAGAGTATGTACACATGGAGTGCCAACACAACTAACCTCTTGCAGAATACTACCGCTGTTACCGTGGCTTATTGTAGGAATTTAGGTGTACCATTAATACTACATAGAATTATGTACTAATTTTTAGCTGAAATTCAGTTTTCTTAGTCACCTTTTATTTATTTCTGAACACTGTCATCTTACACATAGGCTATACAGCATGTCTCAGGCTAGCCTTAGCCAGTGAGTCCCAAGCAGCCTTTGGGAGAATACAGCTGTGAGGGACTACCTGAAAAGAGACTGAAGTGGTCAGGAAGTTGGATGAGATGATCATTGGAGACCCCCTTCCTTCCAAAAGAGCTGTTCTGTTCTAAAGTGTTGGCTCATGGGCTGGAAGGTAGCAGTAACTAAGGTACTGCTGAGCAAGTGCAGCACTGACTAATGACACAGAACAGGCTGGTGCAACACAAGCAGAAACAGATAGAAGTGCCACAGAAATTTATAAACTGTATTTCATTAACTGGTTTCCAGGTGATTTCTCCTGGTTTAAGGACTGAGATCATCACTGACTCCACTGTGTTAAAAAGGGCCCCTGAGGTACAGAGTTAGGGGATAACACTGCATCAGCTATTTCAAGGTTAGGTCTGATATTGCACACACTGCTTTTGTCTGCTGAAAGGGTGGCCAGACTTTATAGCCCCATTGTATCTGAAATCCACAAAGATTAACAATCCCCACCTTCTCACAATGTCTCACTTTCAGAATTTTTAAGTGGTGTTTAACTGAGAGACACTATTCCAATGTTAATTTAAACCAGGCTTTCAAGAAGCTATCAAAAACTGCATGAGCAAAAACTATGTGAACAGTTGGGGTTTACAGCTAAGTAGTTCGGGTTGCTCTTACATTCCAACTTTACTGGCATCAAAACTGCCACAAGTGAACTCTACAGCATGGATCTCCTCCTCTAAGCAAATATCCTCTTCACATTAAACACAAAGCCAGGCACCCAAGTCAATTTGCAAGTGATACTTAAAATGCACCAGCAGCTACAGTATGTTAGGTGGTATGACTTCACCAACATTTGCATTCCTAGTGTGCTTTCCTAATTACAGAACTTTTATTTATTACACAAATGCAAAAAGACTACAAGAGAAGCTTACCTGTGTAAGATCAGGGATATCACCTTTGTCAATTCCAACTTGCTGTGGAGATAAAAGAGTAAAGGTAAAAATCTAAGTGCATTATTCCACTGCAGCAGGCATTAATTTTGATTAGAACTACTCTTCAAGCTATAATGCACCCTGTCTTCAGAAAAATACCACAAAGTTAGAAAGGACATGTCCATCTTCCCAGCAGCTACCTTCAACAACCTGCAGCAGTTTTTTCTTCCCCCCACAAATTAAATACACCTTTAAAATAAAAGGATGAGAAAATGGAGCTTGATTTCACAAACATGGATCTCATACTCTATACTGAAATACACTGGTCACATACTGCTGTCTCAGAGGAGAGCAAATTAAGGTCTAAATCTGCAATCTTCTATTAATAGCCCTGTTGCTTCACACTGTGGTTCTTCAGGGTGACTGCTAGCTCAGCTTTTGCAGAAGAAGAGCAAGCCTCATTGCACCTCATAATCCTGAAGTAGAGTCACTATAACCCCTGTCCAAAAAGCTGTACTTTACTCCCTCAAGTTCAATATTCATATCTGACATTACAAGCCATTAAGGAGTCTATCAGGCTTCTCCATAGAAAGTGAATTAGCAAAGAAACAAACTTTTTATTCAGCTCATTACTACTGTCCATTATAATGAAGCATGAAACATGGAAAATGTGCACCCTGTGCCAAAGAGCCAACTACCACAAATGAGAATCCAGCAAAGGAGTTAATTAACCATGTAACATTCCTATTATCCTCATAAGAGGATGATAACAAGAAGCAAAACCGGGAAAATCTCACATTACAGTTAACTTAATGCTGGCTGCGAAGACTAAAAAAACAGACTTAAAAAATCTGCATGCTTCTATTCCCAATTACTGTATCTTCCTCTAATGTTCAACCCTGTCCTAGAAGTATGCATTTACCACAGCATTTCTCAAAAATATTGGAACAGTTGAAGTTATGTCATCTGTTAATTTAACCAGGAAAGATGACTTTGACTGCACCATAGAGACATGTGGAAATCCTAATCAAGCTTAACTACAAGATCTGAAGAAGCAGATCCAAGATCTGGATCCACTTGGATGGATCCAATGGATCCAACATCCATTGAGACAGAGGCTTAACAAGCACAATTAATATTTGGTGCTAAACAAAAACAAAACTTAATCACAAAATACTCAAGTACCGGCCTCCAGAAGACCCAAAGCCACTTACCTCTGCAACTTTAAGAAACTCTGATACTCTGGTCATTCGAGTTAGAAATCGTTTGTAGATTTCAAGGGCATCTTTACATTGTCCCTTTTTCATTTCAAAAAATTTCTCTAAAGAAACAATGTGGTAAATTTCAGTTAAGATGTCTTACATTAAGTCTTATATCACCAAGTCTTGTTTTCACAAAAATCATGTGTCAAGAATATGACACTACATTAACATTTACTGCTTGGACATTAATCTAGTGGCATCTCTTGCCTAGTATAGTTTATAAGTTGGGCTTGCTGAGCTGCTGAAGAATTACATAGATCATAAAATTGAACCTCAGCTAGCCACAGCACTGTGTGTGATGTCAGCCACTTTTTTAAAGTCTGAAAATAAGTAGGTGAAGTAGCTATCCAACTTAAAATTCAAAATAATTAAGGATATCTAAACACATACTAATATATGTCGTTTCCAAATTTTCTTCACTTCCAAGAACTGTATTTTTTTTCACTTAAGTAGTCTCTGAAGTCCATTTATGTCCATTATTAAACACAGCTACCACATATTTCAACCTGAACTTACACTTTAAATAGCAGTAGACAGTGAAATTCCAACTGAATTTTTATGCCTAACCCATTGTGCCATGCTGGTGATCACACCAGGCTGCCTGAGCTTCAGAACATGCTCACAGCCTCCTTCACACTTTGTGGGCTGATGGTAGGTAGGCTTGTGGAGGGGATCCAGTTTTGGCAGTCATACTTTCAGGCAGATCAGGAATGTTATTCAGGAATCACTTCATACAAAGTTATCGCATAACATTATCACTCTCTACAACTACCTGAAGGGAGGTTTATAGACAGGTGAGGGTTGATCTCTTCTCCCAGGCAACCAGCAAGAAGATACAGTCGTAAGCTGTGCCAGGAAGGTATAGGCTGGACATTAGGAGGAATTTCTTAACAGAAAGGGTGATCAGACATTGGAATGGGCTGCCCAGGGAGATGGTGGAGTCACCATCCCTGGAGATGTTTAAGGAGAAACTGGATGTGGCACTCAGTGCCATGGTCTTGGTGATAAGGTGGTGTACAGTCACAGGCTGGACTCAACAATCTCAGAGGTATTTTCAAACCTAATTAATTCTGTGATATATAACAGAAGAATGTGGGCACCTTAAAAATGCAAAAGCTTCTAACTTTGCAGACATATGACACATGCTCACACAGCACTGTACATTTCTTTAAGCATAGAGATGTTCACTGTCTTTAAAGTATCTATCTTAGACATGTGATGATCTAGCCTCAGATAAACACTAATATAACAGGGTACAGCTTAAATGTTTCTCTCATTTCAGACTAGAAGAGTCAAGAAAAATGTAGCTTTAATGAAAGTAAAAAAACTGAAGCAGATTTGAAACTGATTCTTCACTCATGTATGGTATGTGAGATAAAAGCCAGGTTACTTACCTAGTAAGTTAATAACACCATCATTGTAGCAAGCAAAAAGTTTGATGAGATCTTTAAACAGAAGCATGAATGCAGCATTTATGACACCATTTGTCAGTTCATTTGGATGAACCTACAAATAAAATATCAGTTATTTACAAAACAAGTGTCAAATGCAAACATTTTGGCTTACGCCAGGTATTTGGTGCTTTTATAGACAGAATCAAGCACTGAAGTTTTCATGCTAAGACACTAAACAAAAGTTTTGGTTAGCAGATCAAGGATTGCGTTCTTCACCTTCTTCACCACTCCAAAACAATCCACTATAACAGAGCAGTATCCACATTGAGAGTAAACATCTTAGTCTTGTCTCCTTCACTTATCATGAAGAAGAGGAAGGCAGAGATGCTGTTTACAGTTTTAATGAAATGGACAAAAGATGTCAGTTTACAGCAGAGCTCAACAAAAACTTAATAGTCTATGAGTTAATGTATTTGGACTAATGACATCAAGATCCCTTCTCACATTAACTTGAGAAGAAAATATGTGCTTATTTATGAAAAAGTCTTTATTTTCTTAAAAATATCTCCTCTTCTGAGAGCCCTATCACAATTCCTATGCCATTTAAGGAATGGAAAGAACAATGAGACATGTACTTCAAAGCCTTTCCTCTGAGAGCTGGAGTGGGCTCTGCCTTCTACCTCAAAGTGTATCTGGCTGCCCACCAACAGAAGAATGAATTCCTTGAAAAACGTCTTTGAAATGTTACACTATGGCTTCTACAGCAACTGATTCCTGTTTTTATCCTTAGGTCAGAAAAACAATCCTAACAGCACTCATAACATGATAAATACATTGTACACACTTATTTCTATGAACAGTCTAGATTACACATTAGCCAATTTAGTTCACAGCTGAAAATGAGATGATGATTTTGAGGAAGCCAAACAATGTACATGTGGTATTTTAATGGGGTTTTCCCTCCCCCTCAAAAGAAGTTGGTTGCCAAGAGACAGAAAATAATGTTCAGTCTCCTTGCTTTGTCCATTTCTTCTCCCTCACTGATGCAGAAGATGAAACTCCAAGTTCTCTCTCTACAAAACCAAAACTGCAATCTTTACATTTAATGCGTATGGACAAGAACCATCCTTGGCCAAGATACCTCAGTGGGACACTGAAAAGGGGATTTTCTGGCCCTCATTAAGGGATGATGAGTAAAGCATTACCTACAAGGTGAAAGGTGTTCATTATAATGCATCATTTATAAGTTACTGCCTCTCGGGTTTCCTGCTTTCAGGATGACCCAAGAGTCTCTTTTTCCCAGCCCGATGGCCGAAGAAAGAGTCGGGATTCTTCAGCTCTGGTTCACAAGGTTGTTTATTATCTATTATCTAAAATATATTTTCTCAGACCTGCAGAGGTCTGATCTGCAGGTCTGTCAAGGGCACACTGCCCAATCCTGGGCTGGTGTCTACATTTCATACTATTAATCATGTGTACTTTATTTACCATTATTTTCCAATACCTATCACCTATGTTAGACTGTCTACTTCTACTCTAGACCAATCTAAATGTGCCACCATCACCAAGATGGAGGCTAGGAAGAAGAAGAAGGAAGAAAAATAGGACAATGCCCATGTCCCTCCATCTTGCCTCCTAGACCCCCTCTAATAAAATCCCCAAAACTCCACTTTTCACTTGGTGATTAATTCACTATTACTCTACTTAAACTTCTGTGACTTGTAATTCTTCATATAAAGTTGGTAATTTGCTCCATGGGTTAAGATCAAAATCCCAAGTGTCTTTGGCTTCCTGCCAGGACTCCCCAGCCCCCTGCCAGGGGCATGTGTCCTGGGTTCCAACAACTGCCTAGTGTTAATACTGTGTCAGTTTCAATACATACATCAAATTCAAGTAGTGCATCAATTTGTTCCTGTAATATTGGCATACTCTTCAGCAGTTTTTCAGGAGCCATTGTTCTCATTACACCTTCAGCTCTGCAAGAGGGAATACAGATTAGAAGCCATGCTGTTTCCTCTCTCCCTTCCCCCAAACTCATCTGTTGTCTAAAATTTATGCTTGAAACACCTATAACTCATTTCAAACCATTTCAAAACCACAGTCTGATTCTCCTGCTTCTCATGTCATCATGAGAGCTGGTATGAAAAATCCTTTATCCAGCCACCCTTCCTGACAGCAAATGAGGAAAGGTTTTTTTGTCAAGAGTGATGAATGCAAGAGATTGATCTCATTATGGAAAGATGACACTGGGAGCTTAAATGACTAACTAGAAATACTGTGGCAGAAGTACTGAGAGAACTGATAAGTTTGTGCACAAAGTTTGTTATGAATAACTAATAACAGCTCATTGCTGACACGTCCATGGATGTGTAGCATTCCTTAAGTGTCATCCATAGTCTTATAGCAGTCATCAAGCATGGCCATTTTTATCTCTGATTATGACAAACCTGCACAACCATCATTACGTATTGCCCTGTTCTGGCTGCAGACACGTATATATATGCAGACTGAAAATGAATACCACTATTCTTTATTTTATGCTATATTCTGAGGCAGCTCCTTGTTCTGAGCACCAGAAATAACAGGCATAGAAAGCCTTTCCAGGAATTTAGAGCAAGGCAGGAACAATATCTTCCCCAGCAGCCCAAACTTTACTTTACTTAACATCAAGTGCTCAAGAGTGAACTTGTACGGTCCCCACTAAGGGAATGGCTTCCACTACACAGCAAAGCTGCCATGGTAGACCCTAGACTTCCTGACTGTTTGAGAAGCAGGAGAGAACAGCCTGGTAGTGATGCCTACATTAACAGGTCAGAATCCCAAGCTGCAGAATACACCAGAACTGCCAGAAGGATCCTGTATGCAATTCATGAGTAGCAGGAGCATCTTTAGTATGCACTCCATTAAGCTGCACCTTCAGGGGGTATTAAGCCACTTGCTGTGTCAACTGTGCTTCAAGAGAGCATCTAGAACCCTTGAAGTCCCAGTCAGAGACCAGAAAAATGTCCTCATAAATACCAACACATTACTCTGTGCTGGGTCAACTTTTTTTTTAACACAGTTCTTGTGGGAAATAAAGCCAACCTTGTTCGGTTCAGTTTATAACTGTTTGCTCTGTTGCCTGCTAAGAACTTCAGGCATTCACTTCAGGCTTTGCTTGCAATCAGCCATATCTCTCAGGGAAAGTGTCTGGAGAGTAATGAAACATCCTAAACATAGCTTCAGAGTGTTTCCTTCTCCAAATCCTAAACACAGTCTCACTGCAACAAAGTTTAATTAGGTTAAGATTTAAACCTAGCACTAAAAGCTCCCAGCTTCACAAGGCACCTTACTTTGGTCTTCAATATTTGTCTTACTGCCCAGTCTTTCCTCTTCTCTCTGGGCAATTTTTAACCAATTAAAAGTACTTTAAAAATCAGGTTTTTCTTTGTAGCTACACAAAGCATGTAACAACAAAGTTACTGACAAACTAAAACTAAGTGTAATACCACAAATAAGAATTTAATGGGTCAGACAACCTTATTAATTTACATATCTAAACTTTGCTTACCCTTTCTTCACTCTTGCAAAGTCAAATGCCATTTGTCTGTAGGAAAATGCTTTTTCATTCAAGTATCTACTATAACGCCTTATAAAGGTGGACATGTCATAACCTGCAAAAAACAGTTTCACATTTTACATTTCATTTTCATGCTTGTCAGAAATTCTTTAGTAAACAATAATATACAGCCAACAGACCCCAAGATTACATTATTTCTGTTACACTGTGCAATTTCACATACAGAACAGTCATTACAAGACATCTTTCAGCTTCTGAAGAAAAATCAGTAGTGGTACACCAAAAATTCTACCATTGTCCTCTGTTTCCAACAGATTCATGCAATGCAGCAGTGGCATTGGTTCCAGGGAAAACCTGCTAGAGAACCCCACATAATTATGGGGCAACATTACTCGGTGGCCAAAAAGTTACCCTCTGTTAACAGGGAAAAATACCAGTTTAACAAAAAGTTTTCACTGAACAGGTACATGACTTCCAGGACAAAGCACAAGTTCAGCTTAAACACTCTTGATGTTTCATGTATGTTAGCCACTCTGACTCTTACATGGACCTTCAAAATCCCCCTGACTTGTTTTACCAGAACAGAGAAATCATGACGACACCCACAGAGATTACTGCCTTCCTTGAACTGTTACACCAGAAGTACTCAAGGCACATAATTCTGTACAAGGGGCCTCTAACTTCAGTGACTTTCAAGCCTATGACACCTGAGCAGTTAGTATTACCGCCTATCCTCCAAAGTTTCTTCCTCTGAGCCACAGAAATGTGTGCAGAAGTTATCTTCCTCTTCAATTTAGCCCGCTTTTTGCTACCTTTCTAAAAATCCACACCCCACAGTTTAGTCACTGACTAGCTTTTCCCTTAATATCTACCATCATTAAGTATCCCTGCCAACTCAAGCATAACACTACCAAATCTGATGCCTCATTACCTATGATACACTGTATTATCTATGAAATGGCAATCTAAGTTTAAAGAAAGTAATGAAGAACACAAATGCATGCATCTAACAGAATTAATTATTGCTAAACACCAGTGTCTTTGAGCATATATACACACACATATATCATGTTTAGCTTAGATTAACACACTCATTATTTGTTTAGCTTTGTTCCTTCTGTCACCATATCTAAAAGATGCTAAAGTTTTTTTGGTGTCACATGTCTACACCAAGAGATGAAATAATGTGGCATTGCTTTGAATTTGCCCATTATTGTAGCATGTCTGTAGTCTGCATACAATTTACAAATATTCTCTGACAGCTGAAGAATTGTATTTTCCCTCTTTTCTGGTAGAGCTACCATGAAACAAGCTTTTCCTCTATTAATTGAGGGCACAGGAAAATTCTCTAATAATTACAGAGGGAAAAGTAGAAAAGCAGGCTTTGTAAGATCAGAGGAAAAGAGTCCTTAATTTCTGCCTAGACTTTCTAAATTCGTTACTCAAATCAAATCAAAATCAACCAGTTCTTTTGGTGCCAACAGCCCTACCATTAGGAAGTTATAGATAATGCCTAAAAAGCACAGTGTCCCCAAGAATCCAAACTACTTTTTAAGACTGAGTAAAACCCAAAAAACTAAATGGAAAGTTATCCATTTCAACTTTTAACGCCCATAAGAGTTAAGGAGATAGCTGACCCAGTCCAGATTTCAACCAGCACTAAAAGGATTTGTACAATTTCACTTTTTGAGTAAAAATATTGCAGGAGATGAAAAATATTGTTCTGAAGTTGTTCAGCAGTCTCATTTGTCCTCCATGTGTGCATTTATTAAGTACTTATAAAAAGGCTTCAGTAGCACATTTTTATCTTATTTATATCTTATGAATTAAGGAGCAAATTAACAATAGTATCTTATATAAAATCTTGTTAAGATTATATACATAAATTGACTTACCATGAGATCCACTTTTGTCCAGAAAATTGCTGAGATTGAACAATGTGTTTCTAGATGCCAGGTACTGAATAAATCTCTGCAAGACAAAGTAATTTTTCTTATCACAGCCTGTATCTGAAGGCTTTGTACCTTCTAACAGCAAGATTACCAGTCTATTTTCAGCATACAGCATGAAACCACTGATTTTTTGTCTTAGCCTGCAGTACCTTCCCCAAAACATTTTGTACATTCAGATTAACTACTTTTAGTCAGAATCTCTAGTAAGTATTCTACTGTATATATAGCAAATAGATTATGCATAAAACAAAAAAATATATTGCAAAAGGAGCAATAAAAATGTTTAATTCTCAGGGATTTGAGGGAGCTCAATATTTATGTGCTTGCAAAGCACACATGCAGGCTAGCCCCAGACTTCTCAATCCAGCAGCCCTCAGTTTCAGCCAAGCTGAGGGCCTGATTTAATAACAAGCAAAGCCCCTCATCAAATACAGGGACTAACAGCCTGAAACAGTTAGAGAAATCAGATGAGAACATTGACCAAAACTTGGAATGGAAAAATAGGAGTAAAAATTTACATTGTGAGAAGTTCATTGCATGAAAACACTTTATACACAGCCAAGGAGGAATTGTTTCACAGTCATACTGAAGTTCTTTAAATGTGCTGTCTCTTTTTATGCAAACATACCTGTCTATACAGGTCAATAAAAAGCAAGGATAAGGCTAACTTGATCTAAAAGGCTATCAAGCTAAATTTACAGCTCTAGGAAGGTTTTAATACCCATGCAGAGAAAGCAACTATTTGGATGGCAGTTTATAAATGTTAAAACATCAAATCTGACCTCAGTCAAAAAATCCCAGGTAGTATTTAACCCTGTGTAGCTGTTTTCAGATTCAGTGCATAAATTGTCAGCATCCTGGCACAGGCTGCATCTTGGTCTTATGTTATGGCTTTGTAAATGGAAAGACAGATAAACTCTGTTGCTAATAGTAAGTTTTCTCTTTATCAAGAATCATTCTTGTCCTTTGTTCCCAGGTCCTTTCTGGTTCAGACAAGACACCTCCGCACTACTAACACTTTTGGCTTGGAGCGTGTTCAGTGCCAACGTGGCCTTGAGAGAGCTGTTCACACTTACCTCATTGCCATGGACCATTAGATGATGTGTGGTGACTAAGGCTTTGAATACGACCACCCAGCTACTATTCGTTGCTCGCTCAAAAAGCGTATCAGCCATCTGAGGGATATTCACGTTGGTTTCATTAGTTGCTTGGATCAAGTCTGTAGGAGAGACAAAAGGAAGGTGTTAGGTGCTACAAGTATGATACGTTTGCAGCATGGCCAAGTTCTCAGACCACCAGGCTGCAGGCCATGGTTGTGGCAAACAGGAAGTTCAGCGCTTACATTCCACATTCAAAAAAAAGAAACCAAAATAACAACAACAACAAAAAAAAGTGAATTGAGATTATATTAGTACATGCTGATAGCAACAGTGGTCTAACTCTTTCATCCAACAACAACAATTTTCCAACAATTCTGTCCCAAGCTATGAACAAATATTTCTCCATCTTTATCCCAGATGAAGTTAGGGTGCACATCATATGACTTTACTGCTTGCAGGTTTTTAAGTCAATTGGTGCAGTTCATTACCTCTGGGTTAGACAAATAAGTACTATTGAATTCTTCAACTACAGGTAACATCAAGCACACTGAATCCAGTCACATCAGCAGAAAGAGGAATCACCAGAAACAGATACTCGGTCAGGTTCCTTTAATCAGCAAGCTCCAGCACACCTCCTAGACTTTCTACAGACCCAGAAAGCAGAGGCATGAATTCAGACCTCTTCGACAGCGAGAAAGAACATGAGGAATGACACTAGTTTATACTGAAGCAACTGCGTCTTATATAGAAGAAATAAGACATTAAACTGTCTCAGAGAAAAATGTTAGCATACAGCTTGGTGTCCTGTACATTAAGAATAAGTAAACTGGCACAGAAGAGAGCAGGAAATTAAGGTAAGCAGTTAAATCATAAACAGTGGGGCAGCAAGCTTTCCACTATCCTCTATATCCCACAGGATCTGTGATTCACTAGATCCCCTGCTATCTACCAACTCCAGTTAGGCAGCCAGCAATTTCCTTCCACAAGCTATCACCTATTTTTAAGACACAGCTGGAAACTGCACACTGCAACTGCATGCCCAAAACCTCTGTGATGCCAGACACAGCCCTAGCAAGGCCCAAGGAGGCAACTTCACACAACACAAAGAGCACAAAACACAGATCTAACTGTAGGGCTGAGGCTTAAAATTGGAAGACCTAAGCAAAAAAAAAATTAAAAGTTTAACTACTAGACTAAGCATCTTTTACTTTCCCTCAGAGGAATCACTGTTAATAATTTCTTCCCTATCTCACACTAGAAATTTTCCTCCAACTGTTCAAGTCATTAAGTCATGACAGATATTCTACCTCAAAAGCAGACAGGATATTTGTGACTGCTCCTTGCACACCTAAACTATGCAAGTCTACAGGACTCCCATTCACTTGGGCAGTAGGGTCACCTCTTGGCAGAGTTCCTTTCCCTCCCCTACATAATCCCAAGCAACGGAGAGCATAAATGTTGCTAAGAGTGGAAAGTCAAGGCTCAGAATTACACTACTGATTCTACCTTTGCCGGACAGGAAAAGTCCAGAGGACAAATCTGTCTAAATAGATCAGTGAGTCACATCAGCAACTGAGACCCACCTGGTGTGTACAGAAATCCACACTGCTATACTAGAAGCATTCAAAAGTTCAGGTTTTTTTTTTGTTTGGTTGGTTTGTGTCTTTTTAAAATTCCTGGCACGTGATCTTTATGGGTTTTTTACCTTCTATTACAAAGACTTTGTTTATTTGAGATCCAACAGATCTCTAGCTCAGAGTCACAAGCCTGGGAAAACCATAGTGCTTGTCTGCATATGAAATTGCCTGTTATATGGGCATAAAATCTGCAAGTTTTCCTCAGTTTCAGACCAGGGGAATGATTTTCTAGGATGATACAGGAGACAAAAATTATGTGATCCATTTGCCAAGTTTGAACTGAAAATGTATGTTGTCATGGCATTTTGTTGTCTTGGTTATGGAAGATGGGTTTGAAGTTTTTTGCAGAACACCTTCTGAAATGGGTTTACTTCTATAACCTCAGTAATACTACCCTTGAAGGAGGCAGTTCTGCAGACAATGTATTATAATAGCAAAGCCATGCTATTGAATGACAGCAGTTCAAGATCACAGAGCTCCAAGAATTCTCCTTGATCTTGTGGTACAAACAGACCAATGATCTTTTATTCTGTACTGCTGATTAATGCCTTACAGAAGACAGTGGTTTGTAAAAGCCTAGAAGCAAGTCACAAGTGGCTTACTCACTGTTTACCCCGCTCCAAGATTTTACTGCAGGTGACAGCATTTGTCTTATTCATATAAGGAAATGCATCAAATTTGTCAGCTTTCTGTCTTGGGCTTCAGTACGTAGATTTCTGTGAAAGAGTGATGCTATAAATTGTGTATTCTATTGGTGCACTTTAGATAATGAAACCTCAGAGGAGTCCATCCTCAGAAATGCTGGCAATGGAGACAACAAGGCACTGCTACATGATGCCACAGCACTGCTTCTGAAGCCACTCAGTCATTTCTGTCTCCTCTCCAAACTGCTGGAGGGTACAGCATCTCAGTCTGCAGCTCTGAATGTTTCAGGACATGAGTAATTATAGTGTGCAAAATAGAGAGGCATGATTAAAATTAAGTCTACTACTTGCAGTGCACAGAAAAGAATTAAACCATGCATGAAGATGTCGCTTGTCATCTGAGGCCAGAAAAAGGAGATTGGGGGTGGGGGAATAATTCTTGCAGAGCTGTTTCCTATTTAGTCACACCACAAAAATAAGGTATTCAAATTTCCTAGGTTTCTTTTCCCAGTATCACAGAGTCTCAGCTTAACCAGCAACCATCAGCATCTGGAACGAAGCACCAGCACAGCTAACTTTAAGAAACTGAGCAGCAGAGTTTGGTGGCTAAGCTAAATTTTAAAATAAGAGTTGGAAAAATTAATTTTACTTTAATGCGGTAAGAAAGAACAGATACAAGGAAAAATAAATAATATGCAGGAAAAAAATCTAGAAACCACATTTTCAAAATATACAGATTCAGACATTCACTGGGTGGACAAGAGGCAATAAAGGCAATAAAGATTAGTCTTCCAATGAAGTCACAGGTACATTTGCTAATATAAAATAGGTAATATTAAGAAGTAACAGATGAAGAACAGCCCAACAGAAACCATATGAAGCAATCTTGAAAAGTTGATTCCATTTGGGGCACACACAAGTAGGGCAAACAAGGATTAAAGGGACCTTCCTGAAGAAGTTTCTGCTACTGCAGGCATCCAGTACACTGACAGCTAATCCCCAAACCCAGACACTGAGCTCAAATACAAATTACAAGCAGAGTCAGAAAACAGAATCATACTGCAATAGCAGCAAGTTCTTCTACCACAAATTTCACAGAAGTGAAGTAATTAGAGAATGAAGACCTATATATGCTTTATTTGAATCTATTTGTTTACTGTGAGACTAAATTACAATTGCCAAATCACAATACGTGATTTCTCCTACTTCCTCTCTTCGTATTTTAAAGACTTCTCTAATTAAATATGCTCCAATTAAATATACTTTTTAAAATTATAATTTTACTTCAATATACTTTTTCTAGTTAAGCTTTGAGATGGAAAATCAATGCAATAGAAGAAATAATGTTAACAAATCTGACACCGTAATTTAAACCTAAATAGCAGTCTTTAAGCTGTTGGACAGGCCAATTTTTTCACCCTGACTTAAGACAGCTGCAACTTAATCATACGCTAGGTTTGCTTCTCTTCACTCATTAACACCTCCATTAATAAAAAGACAAACCTGCCACAGAGAGGAAGAATGGCAGAGGGTTCAGAGCCCACTAAAGGATGGGACTAGCTTTAGTGTTTGTTAAGCTCAAGGTAAAAAAAGAAAGAACGTTTCAAAGGTTTCAGAATTTCCAACTCTTTCCGTCTCATTATTAAAAACTAGTTTCTAGTTGTTTTTTGGGTTTTTTTTTTCCTTAATGGGAGAGATTATGCAATACTTTAAAGAAACTCTTAGTCCTTTATCTTTCCAGATGGCATTCTGGATCTGGGCTGTGGTTTTTTCCTGTTTTGTTTTGGTCCCCCTGCTTCACCACCTCCCCCCAAAATTCTCTAATAAGCAGACCTGGGATTTCCCAGTTCATGATTAATTATTCACAATTTACATTTCAGTATGCAGAGAAACAGCAGCAGAGCACAAGACCTCTCTGTTCAGAGAAATATCAGTGCCAACTTAAGAGCAGCTGTCATTCCAGACTGAATTAACACACAAGCTGCCTCAGCATCTGAGCTATGTCATACATTCAGTTCCCAAACTTTGCCAAATCTCTCCAGAAGAAACCCCCTTACAGACCTTCCTACTACTCAAATGCTACAGTAGTCTTCTAGAATATTTTTCTCACTTAAAAGTATTTAAATTATGCCTTGAACCTATTGAAAAGGAAATGCAGGATTGTTCCAAATCCAAGCTAGTCAAGAACAGAAAGAAGCAGCTCAGAGTAAGAGTTTACAAGCCTCAACTAAGAAAGTTAAGCAGGCAAGCAGGAGTAGAGTCCCTGCCCTGCAAGACAGAACTGTATTAGGAAGGTACTGGAGCTCTGTGCTAACCAATGCAAGAGCAGAACTTCCCTGTCTACAGAAACCTGACCACAAAGCAGAATCGGAAAGCAGAACAAGGTTACCAGTTTCTGCTTCTACAACAATTGCTCATAAAAACATCAGCTAATTTGAATATTGTTGGCTTTTTATCAGACAGCTCCATGGAAAAGAGTTTGGAATTAGTTTCTGATGTTATAATTTATAATTTTTTCTTTTCACCTTCAGCTTGCCCTGTCTACACAAACGCACATCTTGATCTGACTTGTAACAATAACCCCAACAGCAGTGCATGCTGTCTACTCCTTCCTCCCCAAAAGTCTTCCTCAAGGGTTGCTGGATCTCACCTTGATGCCAGGAAGCCTACCTTTTATCAAAGTCCAGCATCTTTCAGATATTGCCTTGGAACTTCCATGCCTATGCCAACTCAACAAACCTAAACACAATCTTACACTGAGCACGTGCTCTCCAGGTATTTTAGACTCCCAATAATGCAGCTGTAGCTCTTGGGGGTGCTACCTCCTCCCTCCAGCCT